CATAACAAAAATAACTACCTAAAACAGAAACAGAAACACACACACACACACACACACACACACACACACACACACACACACACACACACACACACACACACACACACACACACACACACACACACACACACACACACACACACACACACACACATATTCACACTAAAGCAATTAACAGAAATGTTTAAACCATACTATAGTACAGTACTTGATATAATCAGTGGTGGTCATTCTGCAGTGGCACAGTTAGGGCTGCACCATACTGGAGGACAAATATGCAAATTATGATACTGGTGTGGAGTATTGCGATAACGATATTACATTAAAAATGCTATGTTTATTAGCTGTTTTTGAATAACTTATTTATATAATGATGTTAAAATAAACAGGGTAAAGGTTTGTTTTGAAACACTATGAACGAGTGAAGACCTCAGCAGATATTCTGACTCTGATTGGCTGTAGTCTTTATGAATATTTATATTCAGCTCTAGATTCAGCTATTGTGCTCAAGCCAATAGCAGAACAGCAACTACTGGAGAGGTGGGGCTTAAGATAGTGAGACTCCATCTGATTGGTGAAGTTTAGATAAACAAACGATGCATAAAATAAAACTAATTGATCACAAGTCTGTGATAAGTATATTCAGTGTGTGAATTACGCAATGACGTTTGGGTTGATGTTAATGTTTCTGTATTACATGCTTCAGTGAAACAGATTGATGTATTTATTTAAGATACATGACATCCTAATCATAAATAAATGAATGTATTATAATAAATTATAAATAAATAAATGTAGTAAAGTTTTCGGTGTTTTGTTGGATAGGCTGTTTAGTGTATTCTGACATGATTAGCTATTTCGGCTTACTTTAGGTCAAACAATGCATCTAATTTGACTTTACTTTTAGGCTTTATGTAGAAACAAATCACTATTTTTTTGAGGAAACTATTACAATGTCTATCGCTGCTCTGAATCTGCTGATTTAAGCATTAACAATGGTATGAACCGTTATAGGGGTGGTCAAGTGGATATCTATTATTTAAAATATTAACATTGCTATTTAAAATACATATCAGAGAGGACAAAGTTAAGGTCTGACCCTCATATATCTTGTTTGCACTTCCTTCAAGGAGGGATTAAAGCCTTAATTAAGCCCAAACCCCCCCTGTAATTCGATCTCTGAGTATATTTAACATACTATTACAATGATAATGATCATTTTCCAATATATTGTGCGTCCCTAAACACAGCAACTATATAATATAAACAAATGACCCAATGCTGTAGTTTCTTCAACTCAAGGCTATTAATAATACGCTACAATACGACACAGTTTACTCTAGTAAACACACAGGTATACAACAGTATTTATTGCAGTATATCAGTTCACTGTTAACACTACAGTATGCTGCAGCATTCATTAATAGTGTTGTAAATACTATAGGATGTACAGTATAATATACATATGCTATAGTGTTGTTCAAAATGACTGCAGTGTTTATTACAGTACTGTTAATGTAGAACAAACATGGTAAAATCACAGCTGTGGTGAATGAGTATGGAACTGTACACTGTAAACAATGCCTGGCTTCCACACAATGAGTTTGAGTCAGGATAACATGAAGGAATTAAGTTATCTTGTTAGTTTTAACAGGTGGTTTGAACATAAAACAATTAAATTGTCACGAAAAAACCTCAAGAATTTAGTTGTTTGTTTGTTTTTTAATAAGTGCTTTGAACAAACAGCAAGCGTCACTTTTAATTGTATGAATGTAGTGATGCTAAGTGTAGATTCATTTGAGTCGGTTCTTCTTACCGAAGCCCAGGAAGCACATGAAGATGAGCACCAGGATGCGGTGCAGCAGGTGGTTGGGGTCACAGATAGGGTTGAGGTGTGCGGACGGCGCTTTATCACCCTCATCTTCATCTTTATCTCCATCCAGCAGACCCTGGTGCTCCTCTCTGTCAGCCATGGCGAACTGCGGTCATGTGATGTGATGCCCGATCACATGACAATGAGGAAACTGCGGTGTTTACGAGCTCAGTCAGCGATCCTCAACTCCCAGCTTCATTTACATCGGTGTGTGTCTGTTAATGTTTACATGCTGATGAACTACACTTCCACTTGTACATGCTCATTTAGAAGACCCGCCCTCACAAACTCATTCACTAGAACGGATCTCACATTCCAAAAGAAAACATTGGAGGGAGTCGTTTTAGACGAACCGATTCACTTGGAGCATTTACTGATCAAATAATATGTTTGAAAAAGAGCCGATTGATCGATTCGCTCGTTCTGCAGTAGTGTAATCAGGTAACTGTGAGCCTGTGTTAACACTAATTAACATCACTCTCTTTTTCACCTGTTCATTTGACAAGAACTGTCCGAAAACTAGAACGAATCACACATTCCAAAAAAAAAACACGAGAGGGAGTCGTTTTAGATGAACCGATTCACTAGAATGATTCCAGAGGAGTGAGTGGAGCGTTACTGATAAGGTAAATTGAATTTATTTCGTTGTGTGAGAAACAAAGCCGATGGTGTATTTTATCGATTGATTGATTCGTTCTGCAATAATCAGGTAAGAAATATAAAGTGTTAAATCCACGGCGCAGTAGGTAGTGCTGTCGCCGCACAGCAAGAAAGTCGCTAACGTTAGGTCGCTGTTGAGAAAATCCGCGGCTGTTAAGCTGCACACCCTGAAGTTTAGTTTGTGATAGCATAGCTCTACTGTTTACACATTTTATATCTTTTTTTCTGTTTTATTGAACATATTATGTACAACAACTTTATTAACTGTATTATCAGTACACCTTTACATTACAAGAAAAGGAAACAGGTGCAAATAAAGAACAAATAACTTAAATAAACAAAATACTTAAGTAAAATAATATAGAAAACTCTTACAAAAAATAAAATAAAAATTATATATATATATATATATAGCCTATATAAGGAACAAGCGGTTTTCCTGTAATTTATATTTTCCTATTTTTCCTATCAAAGATAGAAGACTAGTTGCACTTTTTGTATTCATTATCTTACGGGATTTTATATATGAAAGAATCTCATTAAAAAAGGCACAAAAAAAGGTTTCCCCTTTAAATATTTTGATTTATGTATGTAAAATTTTTCAAGCAAGGATGTTGTTGATTAGGAAGGCATCTTCTTTACTGTCCATGACCATGAATAATATCACTCACATTAGAGATCCTTAGGTGTGTTACACATTTTATATTGTATAGGAATCAATAGGTCTGTAATTGAATGTTAGTATAGGTAATTATTTACTAATTAATTACTTATAATACTTAATTACTTTAATCACTTATAATTACTTTATATTAGTAATTTATAAATACAATTATTGTTTACCCACCTTTTACATGTTGCAAACATTATATTTTGCATAAATCGTATACATTTTACTTAAATACTGTGATTAAAATACAAGTCTGTAGCTCATTGTCAACTATAACTCAGACTCTGAGTAGTATTTCGAATGTGCACATTACGATATCGATGCTGAAACCACATATTGTGCAGCGCTACCCTGCTAAAAAATCTAGCTTAAACCAGCCTAGGCTGGTTTTTAGCTGGTTGACCAGGCTGGTTTTAGAGGGGTTTTGGCCATGGGTTTGGTTAAAGAGGCTGGAAAGTGACCATCTAAAACCAGCTTGACCATTAAGCTGGACATAGCTGGTTTTGGCTAAGCTTCCAGCCTGGCTAAGGCTGGTCATCTCCCAGCCTGTTCAGCTAAAACCAGGCTGGAAACCAGCCTAGAAGTGGCCAAAACCCCTCTGAAACAGCCTGGTCGACCAGCTAAAACCAGTCAACCGTCCTAGGCTGGTTTAAGCTGGATTTTTCAGCAGGGTAATAGACGTCCATGTATGGATATGAGCTTTCCGCAGTACTCTGAGGTGTGTATGTGAAGCTGTGGGTCTTCAGTGAGCTCCAGTTGTTTGTTCAGCTCTGCTCATCTGGAAAGCGTCACGGTGTTTCGCAAGAGCTTCATCAACAACAGCACATTCCTCCGAGCGGAGCTGGGCTGCGGATCATGAAGACCGTCTGCTGGACTTCTGCGCTCGTCTTCACTTTACTTCAGCTCACAGCGGCTCTGCCCTGTGTCCCAGCAGACCCCGCGCACACACACAACCAGGTACAACACACCACAATACAACACACCGAGGAGACATCAGAGCTCGCCTGTTCAAAACTCCGCTTATAAGCTCCTTCATGTGTGCTCATAGGGTGGATGTCATGTTGTTGCCATGCTCCTTTAGGTTGTTGCTAGGGTGTTCACATTTAAAAAAATACAGCAGTAATTTAGTGTTATGAATCATACTTTAAACTGTAATAAATACAGTAGTATACTCTAATTTGTATCGTGTTGTAGTTTAATAGTAGTAGAAAATACAGTATTGGGTCATTTGTTGATATTATTATAGTTGTTGCGCTACAATAGCAACTAGAATCACCACAACAGATTAATTCAGGTACTTTACTATAGTATTGTACTAAAAACAGTAATTTTTACTATAGTATTTGCTCTTATGGGGTGTTGATGTGTTGTTAAACGGTTGCCATGCTCTTTTGGATTGTTGCTATGGTGTTCCCAGTGGATCTTACATTTAAAAAATACCATAGTAATGTATAGTGATTTAAAATCATACTATAGTAAAGTGTATTATACTGTATATATTATAGTAGCACTGTTAAGGAATACTACAAAACACTGTAGTATCATTTCTGTAGTATACTCCAGTTTTTACTACAGTAACCTGTGGTATATTGTAGTATAATATAGCCTGTAGTTGTAGAAAATGACAGTATTGGGTCATTTGTTTATATTACTCCAGTTGTTGTGTTACCATAGCTAGAATCACCACAACAGATACTTTACTATAGTACTGTATGAAAACACTACAGCATTCACTATAGATGACTACAGTATGTTAACCTATGCGGTGTTGAAGTGTTGTTAAATGGTTGCCATGCTCTTTTAGATTGTTGCTAGGGTGTTCTCAGTGGATCTCACATTTTAATAAATACTATAGTAATTTATAGTGTTTTTGAATATAGTATACTAGTAAAGTGCAATTTAGTGTATGCATGTATATAGACCATTTTAATGTGGTCATGTCATTGGCCCATGAACATTTCCTGCTCGTTATCAAACTAACTCATTCCTAACTTCATGTTAAAACAGCTAACAAAACATTATTTATCAATATGTGGCGCTTTTTGGATTCTCAGAAGCTATAGAAATTAAAAATGTGAAACAGGAAATACGTTGAGACCATTGTTGTTGTTTACATCCCTCAAAATGGTCTGTCATTATATATATATACATATATATACACATATACATACATATACAACAGTTCTGTCTGGTTCTCGAATCTGATTGGCTGATAGCTGTGATATATTTAAGTAATATCAGCACCCGCCCACATACAGCCAGCAAAAAGCAGACACTATCTTAAGTTTAAAAGATGCTTGCTCAGCTGTTTAACTGTCAGCTTATGATTTAAATCCAACGCGGAAGAAAGTAGTTCCTCATACAAAAGGGTTTTTGAGACTCTCCATGTTTGATTTTGTTTTTATATACACAATTATGCCATCAAACATTTGTAAAAAAAACGCAATGTCACACTCGAAGCAGTGCAATATGGCGTATGTCGGCACTGGTGGGGGCACTAAGGCAATGCAAGGCAACTCGTGCCAATGCACACCTCCCACCAGTGCCGATTTATCAGCCATATCGCACTGCTACTCATGTGTTATTGCTTTATATATATATATATATATATATATATATATATATATATATATATATATATATATATATATATATATTAGGGCTGTAACGATCCACCAAACCCACGGTCACGATTTTTGGCCCACGATTCGGTTCGGATTACGATTTTTTTGTGGGGGGTGGGAAAAAAAGATTTTTAAAACTATTTTTTCATTAAATAACATTTGAAAAATCTTTATAAACTGAACATCAAAGAACAATATTAACTATGCAAATTATTACCAATATAAATAGCCATATATAAAATAAATAAATAGCCAAAGCTATAACACTTCTGCTTTCTTTGTAACAAAATACTGTTGAAAAACCAAACAGAACTAAACTCCATTGTATAGATAGTTCAAGCATGTTGAAAATTCTTTTTCAATCAAGTTCTCTTACATAGAAAAAGTAAGTTAAATGGCTACTAGGGATGCTCATTTCGGTTAATTTTGCTTAACGACAATAGTAACAATGGTAAACACAAATTATTTTGCATTTCCCCTGCTAACTATATCAATCAAAAAGACACTGAACTGAAAAAAAAAACATATAATACTGCTATACATGTTTATAATATTACAATTATTTATTCATGTTAAGCTTCCACATTTGTTGCACAGTGTGCGACATTTTAAATCCATAACTCATGTGACTTGAATTATAAATAATATTTTAAAACTAAATTAAAACATTGCTTTATAACAGATAGATGAATTAAACTATAGTGGAGTTTTCACCTCCTGTGGTCAGGTAGTTTTATGTCTTGCTCAATGGTATGTTTCCCCCCCCCTTCACTTTTAAAATGCACTTCTTGGGACACCAAGGTAAAACAGATCCTCTTTTTATAATTATTACCACATTTGTAAACATTGGCTGTACAAAGACATTTACAGTGCTCCAGCAAACCTGAACAATCAGCGTGACCTCAGTTTGGACGTCTCTTAGCTTGTTAATAACGTTCACAGTCCTCGACGGATCTGCTTGATCTGAACTCAGAGTGCGTTTCTCTTCAGTTTTTCCACTTGCTCTTCTTGGCCGGCAGCTGTCCTGTGGCCTCCAAGTGTTTGTTGACCAGATCTTCCTGCACAGACGCCGCACAGGGCTGATATCTGCTGTACTCCATCGTGTACTCGCCTTTACCCTGAACACACATACACAGACACACATTAGTGAGCACACAAGGATTTTTAAATCATAACAGAGTTGACAATAATAGTTGACAATAAAAGTTAACGGTAACGGAGTTGACAATAATAGTTGACAATAATAGTTGACGGTAACAGAGTTGACAATAATAGTTGACAATAAAAGTTAGCGGTAACGGAGTTGACAATAATAGTTGACAATAATAGTTGACGGTAACAGAGTTGACAATAACAGTTGACAATAATAGTTGACAAGAAAAGTTGACGGTAACGGAGTTGACAATAATAGTTGACGGTAACAGAGTTGACAATAATAGTTGACAATAAAAGTTAATGTAACGGAGTTGACAATAATAGTTGACAATAAAAGTTAACGGTAACAGAGTTGACAATAATAGCAGACAATAATAGTTGACAGTAACGGAATTGACAATAATAGTTGACCGTAACGGAATTGACAATAATAGTTGACGATAACAAAGTAGACAATAATAGTAGACAATAAAATTTGACCATAATAGTTGACGATAACAGAGTTGACAATAAAATTTGACAATAAAAGTTGACGGTAACAGAGTTGACAATAAAAGTTGACAAAATGACAATATAACTATGACAAAAATAGTTGACAATAATAGTTGACAATAGAAGTTGACAATGATAGTTGACAGTAACAGTTAACGGTAACAGCTGACAAAAGATGACGATAAAGAGTTGACAGTAACAGAGGTGACAAAAGTTGATCGTAAAAGTTAACGGTAACAGAGTTGACAATAACACAGTTGACAGAATTAACGGTAACAGAGTTGACTGACAGAATAAATGGTAACAGTTGACAATAAAAGTTGATGGAAATAGAGTTGACAATAACAGAGTTGACAATAACAAAGTTGACGGTAACAAAGTTAACAGCATAAGAGTTGACAGAACAGAGTTAACGGTAACAGCTGACAATCAAATTTGACAATAACAGTTGATGGTTTCAGATGACGGAACAAAGTTGACAGTTGTGGGTAATAGAGTTATTGGTATCAGAGTTAACGGTAACAGCTGACAATAAAAGTTGACAGTAGCAGAGTTGACAATAAAAGTTGACGATAAAAGTTGATGTAACAGACTTGATGGAATTAGAGTTGACAATAAAAGTTGACGATAAAAGTTGATGTAACAGACTTGATGGAATTAGAGTTGACAATAAAAGTTGACGATAAAAGTTGATGTAACAGACTTGATGGAATTAGAGTTGACAATAAAAGTTGACGGTAACTAGTGTTGCGATAACAGAGTTGATGGTAAAATAGTTGACGGTAACAGAGTTCATGGAAACGGAGTTGACAGTAACAGAGTCTACGATAACAATACTGACGATAACATTTCATTGATTGTTAACTTTAGAGTAATTTACTTTACCTCAGTGCAGGAGCGCAGCTCTGTTGCGTATCCAAACATGTCATTTAAGGGGATCTACACGAGAAAATAAGACAAATGACACATATCACTTCTCCCTCTCTTATGCTCGCAAAGAAACTACAGTTCAGGAGGAAAAATCTGTATCAGTTTAGATTTAATAATGCTTTGTCTGAAGAAACACACAAGTGATGAAAGACAAGATATTAGGGCTCAAGCATGTATATTTACAAAGTAGCTCACTATTTTACATGAGATTTAGAGCCATATTAGAAGAGGGTAACAAAGACTTTAACAACCACAGAGGGTGATTTTCACAATTGCATGACTAAACACGATGATGTGTTGAGACTCACGTCAGCGTATAGTGTGAAGTATCCGTCTGCTCCGTCCTGTCCCGAGATCACTCCGTGTCGGCGGTTGACTCCTGCAATAACTGCACCCTGAAACTCATTCGGAGCGACGATCTCCACAGACATGACCGGCTCCAGGATCACAACAGTGGCCTTCTCCAGCGCTGCGGACACACACACACACACAATAATCACACACTGACCAGAGCTCTAGTGACGGCTCATTCTTGAACGATTGTTTAATTTTGTACAAATCTTTTAAGAGACAGTGAGGGATTCGTTCATTCGCGTATGCACACATTGCACAGGTGGAGGAGAAGATTCGATTCTTTTGAGTTGTCCATCAGGTTTGACTCGTTCCTTCATCACAGGAAAGACAGAAGCCAATCATATGCAGACAGAGGCGGAGAAAGGTTTGATCTGCTCTCGAGTCCTCTTTACATGCAGAACATGATGATCGAATGACTCAAAAACCCAAAGACTCATAAGCTGAACTGATCGTGGGTGTTTCCAGCTCAGACTGTGTGCATTGGTTAAGCTTATGTGAGACTGTCTGTGTGACTTGAACAAACGACTAAAACAGAAGATCGAGCTGAGCTAATCACAGACAAAGCACCAGGTAAACAATCAATGATGTGTTTGGAAGCAACTCTTATCACTAATGATATTTTGAACTAAATAATTCTGTACACAAGATTACTTCATAAATAAAATGATCCACATTTACCAACACTACAGAGCTCACAGACTGAAGTTATAGAAGAAGACCAGAGTGGTCCCTCACCCTGTTTGACAGCGCCCTCTCCAGCCCGGATGAAGGAGATCTCATTAGAGTCCACCATGTGATGTGCTCCGTCCTCCAGCACAAAGCGAACGCCCGAGATCTTGTGTCCAATCAGAGGACCCTTCTCACACGCATCTCGAAAGCCCTGACCAACACCACAAACACTCGTTAGATACGTTAACATCCGACTATTTTAATGCACATGTTAAAACACTGGATAGAAAAGCATGCTGGGTGGAACATGTGCACTGAGTATGATGATCTTCTTAAGCAATAATACACGTCCTTTTTAAAATTATTCATCCAGCCTACTACACAAAATGTAGACTCTCAACAATATATCCTTCAATTGATGAGGTGTGTGATCGATGTAAAAGTGACAAGGCAGACTTTTTCCATATGTTCTGGACAGCAGAGCCATGACACACAAAATCTGCCATATTGCTCGTATTTTCTTCCTACTATGTTTATATTCTGGTTATGCACACCAAACTTAACCGTTAATCGTATCTATATTCTGATTGCATACACTAAACTTTACAGTCTTACTCCTGTATAATAATTCATTCATTTTCTTGTCGGCTTAGTCCCTTTATTAATCCGGGGTCGCCACAGCGGAATGAACCGCCAATTTATCCAGCAAGTTTTCACGCAGCGAATGCCCTTCCAGCCGCAACCCATCTCTGGGAATCCACACACACATTCACACACACACTCATACACTACGGACAATTTAGCCTACCCAAACTCCACACAGAAACGCCAACTGAGCCGAGGCTCGAACCAGCGACCCAGTGACCTTCTTGCTGTGAGGCGACAGCACTACCTACTGCGCCACTGCCTTGCTCGCTCCTCTATATATATGAACAGGGTTGGGAAACACTGATCTAGAACAGACTTTAGTTAAATTCCTATTTACATTCTGATTGAATACAGCAAACCTATGTCAGAATTAAACCTGGCAAACATATTCATAAAACAGATGAGAATAATATTTCTGTTGATTTTCTAAATGTGTTTGCCAGTTTATATGTTGACGATTTTATTTCAAGAGTTCACACTTAGCTGATGATTGATAATAAAGCTTGTTTGGCGTTCTGTCCCGGGAGAGAGCCCTGAGCTTATAAGATCCTCGAGCCCTGGGCTCCCTCCCATTGCAAGGCGAGAGGGGCGTTTGAGCTCAGGTAGATATCGATGACTCCCCCTCCTGCTTATTGTAGCTAATTGTCAGATATGGATGCTGAAAGGTGTACTCAGAGTTTGGCTAAAATATTTGGATTAATTGTTTAGGGTGCTTGTTTTTGAACTGTGGGAGGAAACCGGAGGACCCGGGGAAAACCCACGCGACCACGGGGAGAACTCCGCACAGAAATGTCGCCTGGTTTGGAAGGGGATTAAACCAGGGGCATTTTTGCTGTGAGGCAACAGCGTTAATCTCTGGCCACCGTGACGCCTGTTCGAAAGGAGGGAAAGTAGGGTTGGGTGGGGGGGTTTCTTCAAGACGAAGATATTGGCTGCGTCTGAAACCGCTTACTTCCATACTATATAGTATGCTAAAATCAGTATGTGAGCCGAGTAGTATGTCCGAATTCATAGAATTCGAAAATCGGTATGCGAGAAGTGCCCGGATGACTTACTACTCCTGCCGTGATTCTGGAGTGTGCATCCCATCCATGCTGCGCTATCCCATGATGCCCCACGAGCGAATTCATGAATGGGAGTAAAGCGACGCAATAGACGCAGGTAGGTCACGTGACCATGATAAAATGTCGGATGTAGTACGTCCCAATTCCATTCATACTTTTCACGTTCATACTGTCTAGAAGGTACTTTTCTAACGGCCGAGTAGTACGTTTAAATTCAAATGCAGTACCTACTGAGTAGTAGGCAGTTTCGGACGCAGTCTTTGAGATAAGAAAAGTCAGGTTATTTATAGTAAGTTAAGGATCATCTGATAGGATAATTAGTCATTAGCTAAAGTTGGAACAGCTCTGAACAATCATAAGACCTAAAACCGAGCCCTGAGGGACACCAGTAGAAACAGAGCTGATCTCAGACATATATCCACTTAAAGTAAGAGCTTAAATAAAACGCAGGAATCATCTGATCATGAATATTGTGATGATGGATTGTGTTGACTGTCCGTGGCTCACCTTCTCCACTGCGGGCACAAACTGTTTGGGGATGTTTGTCCCGACAGTTTCGTCACTGAACTCCACCTTGGTGTAATTCTCAGAATCCAGCGGCTCCAGGACCCCAATAACCTTTCCATATTGTCCTGATCCTCCAGACTGCTTTTTATGAGTGTACTCGAACCTGCAGCATCAAGAACAAAGCAGATCTGCGTTAAAGCACAGCCGGTGCACTGCAAAAAGGACTTTCTTACTTTAATTTTTGTCTCCTTTCTAGTCTAAATATCTAACAACTCTTAAATCAGGAAGCTTTTTATAGACGAGCTAACAGTATTATCCTGTTTTAAGAAACAGTATGCCAGTCTGCGACAGTGGTGTAGTGGTTAGTGTGTCGACACATGCACTCCGGTGCTCACGGCGACTTGAGTCCGATTCCACCTGGAGGTCCTATGCCGATCCTTCCCCTCTCTCTGCACCCAATGCTTTCCTATCAATTATGTTGGCTTGAGAAAGCCAACATACTGTTATACTACTCTATCCTTGAAAACAAACGTATCTCCTCCTAGGCCGTTCATGCCACAAGGCCCAAATGTGGTCAAAATGTGCTTTCTGCATTCAAGATTGTTGCTATATCTCCTCATGCCTATAAGACTTATTGTTTTTTTAATAAAAAAAATTTAAATATTAAATTTTTTTAATCTGAGCATATAAAAAAATTATACAAGCCCCAAATTTGGCCAAAAGCTGTATTTAGATGCGGTAGATTTTGTTGCTATATCTTTAAGGTTTATCAGACTTATAGTTTTCCAATAAATAATTTATAAGCATTATTTTTCTTAAAATATGGCAAGCCATTTTTGACGTAAACTCCATATTTTTTATTGATATGGCCAGCCATTTTTGCATGTATCACTTTCACACTTATTAAGCATTGTATTTTCAAAAAAATACGGCAAGCCATTTTTACATAATGTTTATTCCCTTAGTCCCTTTATTAATCAGGGCTCGCCACAACGGAATGAACCGCCAACTTATCCAGCATTTGTTTTACACAGCGAATGCCCTTCCAGCCGCAACCCAACACCAGGAATGCATAATGTTCAAGTCCAGTTTTTGACACTCATAAAGACTGTCATAGAAACATCGGGGTTGATTAAGATCACTCATATTGCCAAGAAGCTTTGATGTATCTTCACTAACCTGTCAAATGTCCCCATAGCAATAAAACAGTATAACCTAGCAACCATTTAAAAATAGCAATATCTCTACATCAGAACATCGTAGGGACCTGGGCATTGGCTTGTTTGACTCATGCTAGCAAATGGGACTTCCTGTGTACTATGCACGGTAACAATGATAATGGAAGCCAAGTGCTAAAAACGATTAGCTACATGCTATGAATGATTATCTAAATGCAATAACATTTGCTAGAAATGCCTACTAAGTATTAGCATTTGATCAAACATGTACACGAGCATTGCCATTTAGCAACTGCTTAGCAACCACCTAACAATGCCATAATTGTTTTAGCAACTGCCTAGCAACCACTTAGCAACCGCCGCCATGCTTCCTGCCAACTGCCATTCCCAGTCCTAGCGCAGTCACGTTGGCTTTCTCAAGCCAACATCAAAGTTTATCAATAAACTTTAGGTTCTAGTTCTCTCTACTTTCCTATCCAAATAAAAATGAAAACCCCGAAAAAAATGATTATATAAAAAACGAAATAATATGCCAAAATAATCCTTTAATACAAGCAGAATTATCTGCCAATGGGGTAATTAAAATCATCTTTTTCTTTTGACATGATTCTGTTTACCCCACTGGCAGATTATTTAGCTTGTTTTAGGCAAAGATTTACTTAATTTTGACTCATCAATTCTGAAAACATAAGCATATGTTTGTTTGTTTTTTGTCTAGAAAATGACAAAGAAATAAAAATGAAGAAGTTTTAGATATCTGGACTAGAAACAAGACAAATAAATAAGTAAAAATAACACATTTTTTGCAGAGTACTCACATTAAATATTATACAGTGTACAAAATTAAACAATGTGAAGACAAAGAGTAACCCGATGTGTAGCGCAGAGCATTCAAATCATGAATCATGGAGTAATCCTGCTTATAGCATGAGTATTAGACAAGTTAAAGCTGTTAATAATGTTCACAGCGAGATTTGACAGAAAAGAAATGACATTTCATTAATCATTTGCTTACAAGGTCTAGCATTCTGTCCACTTTAAAACATACACAGAGTTGAAGGATTGCTGTGTTTGCATTTATATGAATCACTGAGCTGAATAAATCACAGAGAGAGAAGTGTGTGTGTGTGAGAATTACCGACTGCATCTATTCATCTCTCTCTGTAAATAATGAAGCTGTGGGTTTGGTGAGTTTAAAGCAGACTTTACTCCACGCCCTGTCCATGATGAATGCAGGATAAACTAGTGATTCAGTATCGAACCGCTTTCATTAATCTGTTAGAGCCGTGTTTCTCACCTGGTGGGTCGCGGGAACATTTATAGTGGGTCGCAGAGTGCGTGGTCAAAAATACAACAAACATTTCATTTGTAACTTATTTTGCTTATACAAGACTTTTATTTTGAAATGCGTGAGCGACAACTGTACCGTTTGACATGTGAAATTTCATTTAATTATAGCAGGGGTGTCAAACTCAATTCCTGGAGGGCCGAAGCCCTGCACAGTTTAGTTCCAACCCTGCTCCAACACATTTACCTGTAGGTTTCAAACAAGCCTAAAAGACTCAATTAGTTTGATCAGGTGTGTTTAATTAGGGTTGGAACTAAACTGTGCAGAGCTGCGGCCCTTCAGGAACTGAGTTTGACACCTGTGAATTATAGCAACAAAAATGTCGAAGCGCAAGTACGACCCCGAATATGTAAAGTAGGGATTTACATATATTGACGACTAAAAAGGCTCAAAACCTCAGTGTGTCATATGTAGCGATGTGCTCCCACAAGAGCACTTTTAGAAACCAAACATTTGTCGTTTTTACTTTGTAATATTTCTATAATTTGATCCATTTTGTTAAAAGACAGCAAAAAAATATTGTTTATTTGTAAGTCTTGGTGATTTTCTTATGATGTATCTGTCACTACTTGTGTATGTTAACAAATAAATAAAAATTAATTATAATTCCTTAAATTATATTATAGTTCCTAAAAATTTGGGTCGCGGCCTGATGACCATGTTAAAATGTGGGTCCCAAGGCCAAACCAGTTGAGAACCCCTGTGTTAGAGCATATTATGGTGTCACTGTGTCTTTAAGAGGGGGCGGGGCTACAGAGCAAAACAGGAACTGCAGCAGAAGAGAACTGTGTTTCTACACTTCTGCTTCAGACGCTGATGAACACGTTTCCTCATGCTGTGTGTTGACAGTAATAACGTGTTTAAATTGCGCAAGAGTGTGAGATAAAGGCTCAGAGTCCAGTGCAGAAACAGACACACCCGACACTTCTGTGAGTTTCTGTGTGTGTTTTCTCAGACGGAGCTGGAAATGGCCACAGGAGAGCTGGTTCCCACTCATTTCCCAGCGCGGCGGGCGGCTAAAGTGGCTGTGCATTACCTGAACACACGACACGGATCGCCATTCAGAGTGTTCGGACTGCAGCAGGTGCACAAGGCCACAGCGGAGGTCAGGTTTCTGACACTTTTCTTATAATGCACCCAAATTAAGTTCATCTGTTGCGGTTTACTTCTATTGCTTTAAGAAACTTATTCAGATTATCTTTTTAGTAAAGCGTTTAACCTGTGATGTATATCGAGAAGTCGTGATTTAGCTTATTTTTTTGCTGATTATTCTCGCCTGATTTGTTGTTTTTTTATTTTTGTTTTGTATACTTTGCAGCACTGCAAGTTAAATAAAAGTATAAATAAATGATAAATACAGTGCTCAACATTTAAAAAATGAATATTTCTATGCTTTCTCAGTGATTATAGGTCATATTTTGGTACGTTTGAGCTAAACAGATTTATTAAATGGATAATTTTTTAAAAATAAGAGTTTGGTCACTGAACATCTTTAGAAATAATACAATTAAATTCAAATTAAATATGGCAACAAAAAAAAAGGACAAACTTTTAACTAAACTTGATTTGTTTTGTTTATCTTTTTTAAATGTGATTTTATTTTTTTATTATTTTATATATTATATTTGCATATACATTAGGTCTACTAATTACATTTTACTAGTTATTTTATTATATTAGCTTTAGATTTGTCTTCGGTGCTGGTTAATCTTCTGTATATGCACAAATACAACATTGTGTAGCATCCTATAGAAATCATTTATGTAAATGAGAGATCTGTGAGGGGTGAACTCATGTATGCTGAGCACTGTATATTACATTAAAAGCAAACACTAGTACTTCAGCTGAAATTAAGTAATAATAATAATGATAATTCATCCCTACTGGAAAAAAAACTACTTAAACCAGCCTAAGATGGTTGGCTGGTTTTAGCTGGTCGACCAGCCTGGTTTTAGAGGGGTTTTGGCTACATTCATGCTGGTTTCCAGCTATTTCCAGCATAGTCAGGCTGGGAGATGACCAGCTAAAACCAGCTTGACCAGCCTAACCTGGCTGGGAGCCCAGCCAAAACCAGCTATGTCCAGCTTAAACCAGGCTGATCAAGCTGGTTTTAGCTGGTCATTTTCCAGCCTGACCAGGTAGAACAGGCTGGAAATGGCTGCAAACCAGCCTGGAAGTGGCCAAAATACCTTTAAAACCAGGCTGGGCGACCAGCTAAAACCAGCCAACCAGCTAAGGCTGGTTTAAGCTGTTTTTTTTTGCAGTAAGTATGTTTTAAGATATGCAGTGAAACCATAATTCATTTTATTTTAACAACTGAAATACTTCATATATAATAACATATAATAATAATTTAAAGAATAAGAGTGTTATAAGTTGAACTGTAGTTTAGATTTCGATATTGGAGTGAAATGTTTTGCTGAATGTGAGCAGAGCATTTGTTCATCTGAGCTGATATCTAAGTGTTCGATTGCTGAATGATGGATAACTCTGCTGTTGACAGGATGTAGATGCCGGGAGGAAGTACAGCCTGGATTTCTCCGTGACTGAGTGGGCCAGATCGGTACGCTTTACAAATATAAATCACAAATACAGACTAAACCAGATGAGCTAAAGCGATAGTTCACCCAAAACTGAAACATACGGTCATCATTTACCCATGCTTTCTTGGTTTACTTTTTATTTTTGGAGTGTTTTAAGATCAGGGACTGCAGGCGGAAAAATAGCAATCTGTGCTAAAGCCTGGCAGCAACAATCAAGAATGCATGACTAGATGCTGTCATGGCTTTACAATCAATAAATGTATTTATAATGGAAGTCAACGGGTCAAAAACAGCACCAACATCACCAAAGAGGAGTCAATCTGAGTGTATTGAAAACTGTCAAAGCATTTTCCCAAAATATGTCTCAAGATCAGATTTGTCAGCAACGGTCTTTTGCTGAAACAGAGAAAGCTGTGGCCAAATTAAGCCTTAAAATCAGCCCTGTGGATGAAAACGACCCAACAGCACACAAGGGTTCATTTCTTTCCATCCGCTAATGTTTGAACCGTGATCTGTCCAGGATGATTTGACTGTGTTGTGTCAGCGGTGTGTAATGTGTGTTGTGTTCTTCAGAAGTCAGTGTTTCGGTGTTCAGCTGTCGTGTTGTTCAGCACTGCTCAGAAAACTCCTCCTGATGTCCAGCTTCAGTGTGAGGATCTACAGCAGATCAACACCACACCGCAGGAGGAGGCTTTCTATCACAGATACAGCACATCTGACAGCCCTGTTTCTGCCCTCGACATACCAGGTGAGACAAATCACTGTAATGCTGAATACTAGAGCTGTGGCGAAAACTAGCCTAGAGCGCTGTCTGTGGTTTAAAACTAGCCTAGAGCGCCATCTACTGTTTAACTCTAGCCTAGAGCGCCATCTGCTATTTAAAACTAGCCTAGAGCACCGTCAGCTGTTTATAACTAGCCTAGAGCACTGTCTGTGGTTTAAAACTAGCCTAGAGCGCCATCTACTGTTTAACACTAGCCTAGAGCGCCATCTGCTATTTAAAACTAGCCTAGAGCACCGTCAGCTGTTTATAACTAGCCTAGAGCACTGTCTGTGGTTTAAAACTAGCCTAGAGCACCATCTACTGTTTAACCCTAGCCTAGAGCGCCATCTGCTATTTAAAACTAGCCCAGAGCACCGTCAGCTGTTTATAACTAGCCTAGAGCGCTGTCTGCTGTTTAAAACTAGCTTAGAGCTCCACCTGCAGTTTAAAATTAGCCTAGAGCGCTGTCTGTGGTTTAAAACTAGCCTAGAGAGCCATCTACTGTTTAACACTAGCCTAGAGCACCATCTGCAATTTAAAACTAGCCTAGAGCACCGTCAGCTGTTTATAACTAGCCTAGAGCGCTGTCTGTGGTTTAAAACTAGCCTAGAGCGCTGTCTGCGGTTTAAAACTAGCCTAGAGTGCCGTCTGCTGTTTAAAACTAGCCTAGAGCTCCACCTGCGGTTTAAAACTAGCCTAGAGCGCCGTCTGCTGTTTAAAACTAGCCTAGAGCTCCACCTGCGGTTTAAAACTAGCCTAGAGCACTATCTGCGGTTCAAAACTAGCCTAAAGTGCCACCTGCGGTTTAAAAACTAGCCTAGAGCGCCACCTGCAGTTTATAACTAGCCTAGAGCGCCAGTTGCGGTTTAAAACTAGCCTAGAGCACTGTCTGTGGTTTTAAACTAGCCCAGAGCGCCACTTGCGGTTTAAAACTAGCCTAGAGCGCCATCTGCTGTTAAACACTAGCCTAGAGCGCCATCTGCGATTTAAAACTAGCCTAGACCACCACCTGCGGTTTAAAACTAGCCTAGAGCGCCACCTGCATTTAAAAGTAGCGTAGAGCACCACATGCGGCTTAAAACTAGCCTAGAGCGCCATCTGCGGTTCAAAACTAGCCTAGAGCGCCACCTGCGGTTCAAAACTAGCCTAGAGCGCCATCTGCGGTTCAAAACTAGCCTAGAGCGCCACCTGCGATTAAAACTAGCCTAGAGCGCCACCTGCGATTTAAAACTAGCCTAGAGTGCCATCTGCGATTCAAAACTAGCCTAGAGCGCCACCTGCGATTTAAAACTAGCCTAGAGCACCATCTGCTGATAAACACTAGCCTTTAAGCAGCTCAAACAAACAATTTCTTAAATATTTTTGTTTAAATATTGTGTGTATGTGTATTTGTGTATGTTTGTGTGTGTGTGTAGATAGCCATGGGAACATGAGTCAGGAGATGGAGCCGTTCTGGCATCTGGCGGGTGTGTCGGCTTCATTCATCATGCTGAGGGAATCCAGTGAGAACACAGAGTTCAACATGGCTCAGGTGGCCAGCGTCACACAGCAGGTACAGTGAGAGCCAATCAGAGTCCAGCTCAACCACATAAACCAGACTAATGGAGTTACAAAGTGAGCGTTTTGCGCGTTTGACACACGAATCGCGCAAACCGCTCAAGTTCGAAAACCTGAACTTCAGCAAACATTCGCGCCGCGTTAACCAATCAGAAGCTTTCTCTTGTAGGGGCCGAATAGTCAAAAATGTATAATGGATTATTTGTGTGTGAACGTATTCACTGACGGTCAAAGTGATTCTCAGTTCCAGGATGAGACTGTGTTATTCAGCGGTTGTTATCTAGAAATACCTATGAATATCACGACTGACCAATCAGAAGCCATGTATCAATAATGAATAATGTCCTCTTTTAGGAGACGAGCGAGAAGCAGCTGATGCTGAAGTATCACCTTCTCCTTCATGACTTTGTCTCACAGGTAACAAATAAACGCACATATCATGTCTGAAAGTCAAGTCATGTCCCCTTTGATTTATTACACACACTTCCATTGACTCTTAAATGTTAAAAACAGCTGTTTCTGCTGCTTAATGTGCTTTAACTGATATTTCCTCATTATATTATTCTACTTTTAATGTATAGGTCATGAACACACTTGTTTGTAGATCGAGCAGCTCGACCACTTTCTGCCGTTTATTATTCCTAGGCTTGTCCCCCATAGGAAACTGAATCGGAAGTTCTAAAACAATCGCAAACAAGAGCACATTGCAGAATAAGGTCAATCTGAACGCTCAGACTCCTGCTGTGTGTGTGTGTGTGTGTGTGTGTGTGTTTTGCAGGAGATCCTCCACTGGCAGCTGCTGTCCTCCTGGTCTCCAGAAAGAGGCGTCCGGGTGCTGGAGACGCAGTTTCTACCCAAATGTCCGCACGCCACCGGACCACCCTCCAGCACTCCAGACCAATAAACACACTAAGAAACGCTATCTGTGTGCGCTTCCTTCATCACACACACATCATCCTCAGCTCTGACCTCACACACACTGAAAAATAATGCTTTTATTACTTAAAGGTGCAGTGTGTACGTTTGACACCCAGTGGTTGAACTAGGTATTGCACTCCTGGATCAAAACACATGCAAGCGCAGGTTGCCAGATTGACAACCAACAGGAGTGATTGGTTGATTTAAGGCTGATTTAAGACATATTCTAACTAAAAGCAATGGCACCCGATTGAAAAGGAATACTTTCCATATTAAAAGGAGTTTTAGTCCTAACCAACACCTGAAATGTATATGTTAGAAACGACAATTCGGTGGAAGGGGATGATTGGGAGGCCCTGATCGTATGGGCCGATAGAGGGACTTTGGCCAGGACACCGGGGTTTACAACATTTCTCTAAATATCTCCTTTAGTGTTCAACAGAAGACTCTTGAAGAGTAAAAATTCTGACAATTTTCAGTTATGGTGTAACAACAGTAAATCCGTCAACAGCAAGTCTATAACACACACTTGTGGTTTCAATAAAGATAACCCCCTCTTTAGGATCACATGCGTGTTGCTCTCAAGTAGGTATCGCTGCAGTCCTGAGACCTCCAAGTGGGAGGAATTACACCGCCAGTAGGTTGGGTAACCTCCGAGTGGGAGGGACTTAAACCACAAGTAGGCTGGGTTTAGGTGGTGCAGATGTTAATAACACACATCAGGTTACTGTGAGGTTGGGTTTAGGGTTGGGGTAGGTGCAGACATTCATGAAGCACAACATCAGACTCATGTACAAGACATTAAATAAATGAAAACTCCAGGTGTGCACAGCCCACTTGGAATTCGAAGGCCCACCTACTCGGATCTGGCTTTGACCTCTGTTTATACCCTTCCTGTTGCACTTGCTCTCAGGGATTATAAATACAGGCTAATGATGCTAAACAAGTGTGAAACAATCTGAAGCAGGACTCACGGCACAGCGCTGGTCAGCGTCTCTCTGAAGGCCACCTTGGGTTTGCCCATCACACACGGACAGCTGTATTCCCTTTCCATCCTCTGAAACACACACACACACACACATTTTTTAGTTTGAGTCTCGGCTGGGTCAGTTGGTGTTTCTGTGTGGAGTTTGCATGTTCTCCCCGTGTTGGCATGGGTTTCCTCCGGGTGCTCTGGTTTCCCCCACAGTCCAAACACATGCGCTATAGGGGAATTGATCAACAAAACTGGTATTGTATGAGTGTGTGTGAATGAGTATGTATGGGTGTTTCCCAGTACTGGGTTGCAGCTGGAAGGGCATCCGCTGTGTAAAACATAAGCTGGATAAGTTGATTTCACTGTGGTGACCCCTGATTAATAAAGGTACTAAGCCGAAAAAAAATTAATGAACAGATATGCTAATAATAATAATAAAAGTATAAATAATAATAAAAATAATAGTAATAATAATAATAAATAGTATTAATAATAAAAATAATAGTAATAATAATATTAATAAAAATAGTAATAGTAATAATAATAATAAATAGTAATAATAATAAAAATAATAGTAATAATAATATTAATAAAAATAGTAATAGTAATAATAATAATAATAATAAAAGTAATAATAATAGTAATAATAATAATAATAGTAGTAATATTAATAAAAATAATATTAATAGTAATAATAATAATAAATAGTAATAATAATAAAAATAATAGTAATAATAATAGTAATAATAAAAGTAATAGTAATAATAATTGTAATATTAATAGTAACAATAATAATAGTAATAATAATAATAATACTAATAATAAAAATAATAGTAATAATAATTATAATAATAATAATAGTAATAATAATACTAATAATAATAAAAATAATAATAATAGTAATAATAATAATAATAGCAATAACAATAATAGTAATAATAATAGTAATAATAATAATAGCAATAACAATAATAGTAATAATAATAATAGTAATAATAATAGTAATAATAATAACAGTAATAGTAATAATAATAATAGTAATAATAATAATAGTGATAATAATAATAGTGATAATAATAATAATAGTAATAATAATAACAGTAATAGTAATAATAATAATAGTAATAATAATAGTAATAATAATAATAATAGTGATAATAATAATAATAACAGTAATAATAATATTAATAATAATAATAATAATAATAATAGTGATGATAATAATAATAATAATAACAATAATAAAAACAGTAATAATAATATTATTAATAATAATAATAGCATAATTTTAACTTCAGCTGTATATTACCAATCATTAACATGAGTAAATAAATAGACTCAATGAGGGGCTAAAGTATCTGTGTGTATATCTGCGTGCACAGATTCAGTGTGTGTCTGCTTGTGGATGAATCGTCCAGCTCTCGCCGCTGATGGAGCAGATTACTGTAGCCTGGATGATCACCTGAGAGTAGATCTCCAGATGCAGCTCCCCCATGCCGGAGATGATGGTCTCTTTGCTCTCCGTGTCGAAATGAACCCGAAACGTGGGGTCTTCCCTGGTGAAGCGGCTGATGCCCTTCGACAGCTTATCAGTGTCATTCTGAAGGAGAAAAGAGGAGCGTTTACTGCTGAAAAACACCACGCAGCACCGAGAGAGAAACTCTGATCCTCTGATTCTGGTACCTTGTTTGAGGGCCGAATGGCCATGGAGATCACCGGCTCAGGAACATGAATGGACTCCTGAAATACAGACTATTATTAAACCTCCTGTTGACTTGACTATGAATAGCCGAGCGCCACTTTAACAGCAGAAAAAAATATGTGTGTATATATATATATATATATATATATATATATATATATATATATATATATATATATATATATATATATATATACATAAGAAATATACACACTATCCCATGCCCAACACTAATAATCACCATAAATAATAAAATTAGTGGTTATATTACAAACTACAATTCTTAATAATCAAACCCTTTGGTGTTCGCTGTGTTTAGTGAGTCGGTGTGGTGCTTGTGCTCAGTTCAATTCATCTTGATTTCTATAACACTTTTACAATGTATAGGGTGGGCCATTTATATTGATACACCTTAATAAAATGGGAATGGTTGGTGATATTAACGTCCTGTTTGTGGCACATTAGTAGATGTGAGGGGGCAAACTTTTCAATATGGGTGGCGACCATGGTGAAGTCGGCCATCTTGGATCCAACTTTTGTTTCTTTAATAGGAAGAGGGTCATGTGACACATCAAACTTCTTGGGAATGTCACAAGAAAAGCAATGGTGTGCTCGGTTTTAACGTAACTTTATTCTGTCATGAGTTAATGTGTTCAGTGTGCTGCCCATTGTGTTGGATTGTCAATTCAACCCTCTTCTCCCACTCTTCACACACTGATAGCAACACCGCAGGTAAAATGCCAGCACTGGCTTCCAGTATGTGTAATTTCAGTTTTGTCGATGTGAGCCAATTGAATAGCCCCCAAGGTCTCCCGATCTGACCCCCTTAGACTTTTATAATTGGGGTCATCTGAAGGCAGTTGTCTATGGTGTGAAGATACAAGATGTGCAGCACCTGAAACTACAGATACTGGAAGCCTGTGCTGGCATTTCTCCAGCGGTGTTGCTATTAGTGTGTAAAGAGTGGGAGAAGAGGGCTGCATTGACAATCCAACACAATGGGCAGCACATTGAACACATTTTATAAGTGGTCAGAAACTTGTAAACAACTCATGACAGAATAAAGTTACGTTAAAACCAAGCACACCATTGCTTTTCTTGTGAAATTCCCAATAAGTTTGATGTGTCACATGACCCTCTTCCTATTGAAAAAAACCAAAAGTTAGATCCAAGATGGCCGACTTCAAAATGGTCACCACCCATCTTGAAAAGTTTGCCCCCCTCACATATTCTAATGTGCCACAAACAGGACGTTAATATCACCAACCATTCCCATTTTATTAAGGTGTATCCATATAAACGGTCCACCCTGTACTCTGTTCTGTCAATTCAAACAGCTTCTGTCCGTTTGATAGGACTGTACCTCGCTTTCCTTTCATACAAATTACAAACAGCAAAAAACATTTGTTTTCAAGTTTAGTGTTTGTTTAACAGTAGAGATTTCAAGCTTTATGTGAATATATTTCTCATGTGTGTGAAGCAAGTATTGGCTGAGAATTCAGTGTGTTTGCTGACCCCAGAGGACTCGTAATGAAGCTGCAGAAACAGTCATAAACACACGTCTGGTCCGAGAGCCCCTCCCCCGGAGAATCCTCAGCCTATAGCCATCGATGATTGGCTCCTGTACTAGTAGGTGGGGCTTCATTTGTTACATTGACCATTACCCTTTTCCTCATTCAAAACTATACAAGTGACATGTCTAGTGTGTTCTAGAATCTTAGCTCATTCCCGTGTAATAATAATGTTATGATGTTTATGTTTGGGTGATCTTCACGCACCATGGAGAGGTTGGCATTGTTGCGGGCAGTGAAGGTGTCTCCGCTGGCGCAGTCGATGCCAAACAGCGCACAGATATCTCCAGCATACGCCACCTCCACATCCTGAACGACACAGAGATAAACACAAATCAACACTTCATCTAGAGGAATGCACACAGATGGCAGATCTGGGCTGAAACTAATCCTAACGATTTTTATGCAACCCAGCACTGGAAGACACCCATAACCTCTCATTCTTACACACACACAGACAATTTAGTTCATCAGTTCCCCTATAACGCATGTGTTTGGACTGTGGGGGAAACCGGAGCACCCGGAGGAAACCAACACCAACACGGGGAGAACATGCAAACTCCACACTGAAATGCCAACTGACCCAGCCGGGACTCAAACCAGCGATGATGACACAGTGCTAACCACTGAGCCACCCTCCCTAATCATCTGCACTGGAGTCTGCGCTCACCTCCATCTGGTCAGCGTGCAGGCGCACCAGTCTCTGCACTCGAACCCTCCTCCCCGTGCGCGAGTTGTGGATGTAGTCGGTTTTCCTCAGACAGCCCTGATACACACGCACGTACGTCAGCTGACCGAAACGCCCCGCCTGAACACACAAGAGACAGTTTAGGGCTAGAAAACTGTCCAAATCATCTACTGTTGAACACTAAACCAATGAAAAACAGCAGAAAAGGGGCATTCATCTCAATATCAGCAAGTAAAAACATTCAGCATTTGACATGTTCAACAGAGGAAAGAAACTTGCTAACTTTATAAAAAGTGTTTATAAAAAGGTCACGACACCTTTATAAACGCGCCATGAATATGAAGGTTTTAAACATGCTTATTAAAACCGTCATTAGGTGTCATTCGCTCCGTTATGTCAATATAAATACAATGCTGACCTTGTTTGAGATGTCCTTGTTATGACATTATCAAGACAACATGACTTGTCATAAACCTGTCATAAACATGATTGTCATGAGGCATTATAATTGTGATTAATATTTATCCGATCGCTTTTTTAGGGGATTTGCCATTAAAATCTATCATCAAAAGTCAGATAATCTTATACTGTCACATCATGTCTTCCATGCATGTTTGTTTTCGTCATGTGACCTTCCCCATGTGCTCCTTTGTTCCAGTTCCCGCCTTGTCGTTATGTTCATCAGTCACCTGTGTTCATCACCTGTATGTAATCAGTCTCATCATCCCCAGTGTATTTACAGTCCCTGGATGCATCCGAAACCGCATACTTCCATACTATACAGTATGCAAAAATCAGTATGCGAGCCGAGTAGTATATCCGAATTCACAGAATTCGAAAATCAGTATGCGAGAAGTACCCGGATGACTTACTACTTCTGGCGAGATTCTGGAGTGCGCATCCCATACACGCTGCACTTTTCCATGATGTCCCGCGAGAGAATTCCTGAATAAGAGTAAAGCGACGCAACTGACGCAGGTAGGTCATGTGACCATGACAAAATGGCGAATGTAGTACGCCCCAATTCCATTCATACTGTATAGAACGCACTTTTCTATCGGCCAAGTAGTGTGTTTAAATTCAAATGCAGTACCTGCTGAGTAGTAGGTGGTTTCAGACGCAGCCCCTATTTTTTGTCATTCGTTGTCCGGTGTTCTCTCGTTTGATGTCTGTTTCACCCCATGTTTTTCCTGTGTTCATCCATGTAAGTGTAATCAATAAACCTACGTGTTTTGATAATCCTGCGCCCTCCTGTAGTGAGCTCAGGCGTTACAATAACAGCGTCATTGTTTTAGGACATTTAATGATAGTCTAACCTACCGCTGTAGCTGGCACATTTATAATGCCTCATGACAGTCATGTTTATGACAGATTTATGACAAGCTGTGTTGTCTTGGTAATGTCAAGCTGTCATAAAGACATCTCAAACAATGACATTCAACATGCATAACGGTCCTCATAATAAAAACTCCTTAGTCATGACATGATTATAAAGGATTTATGGCAGTCTTATGAACACCCTCTTCAAGTTAAGTGCTACGAAACATGTTTTAACAAGAAGTTCATGACGGATTTAAATTTTTGAGTGAACAGTCCCTTTAAACAGAGATATTAGAGTAGACCACAGAGAAGAGGAACAGCACTAAGCATCAGCAGTTTTCACCTCTAGTTTGAAGGCCAGACCCACGAACGGCTGTGTGTCATCTCTAGTGGAGTCCATCAGAATCTTTGATCCTTCACTCTCTCCCCTATAAAACACACACACATGCGCACACACACGCAAACGCGCGCACACACACACACACACACACACACACACACACACACACACACACACACACACACACACACACACACACAGATTTGTTATACTGTCGAAGGCCCCGTTTACACTAGAGTGTTTTAGTTTTAAAACGGCGTTTTAGATCAAAAACGATCCGCGTTTCACCTAGTGTGTCTGAACATATCCGTCCACACTACGCCCCCAAAAACGTACATCACGTGACCATTGGCGCACTCTGGGCATGTGCATTCTAGTATAAACAGGAAGCATGCGTCTCGCACGGCATTTGGTTATTGTTAGTCAACAAACGCCGGTTGAACATTAAACGCGATGGCAAAGAAAGCAAGAGAGGTATTTTTGTGGACAGACGACGAGGTCGAGTTACTAAACGTAACAAATGAATAACTGCACAATGGCGCCTAAAACAGACAATAGTGCAAACAACGCTCCCATTTCTGTGTCCATGTTGTTGTTTACAGTGAAGGCTGGTCTGCTGTCTTCCGGTAGCGTAAAAGCCATGTGTTATGGTCAGCGAATCTCAGCAGCGTTTCCAAAACGCTTCGTTTTCGGCGCTCGAAAACTCCGGCATAGTGTAGACAGATGGCGTAACCATCTGTAGCAAAACTTATGCGTTTTCAAACTAAAATGTATTAGTGTAAACGGGGCTTAAGTATGGACAACAAATTCCACATTCTATTGTTTTAACAATACTGTCTACAGCCTAACCTTACCCCTACCTCTAAACCAACCGTCACAACAACAACTGCACATCATTAGATACTTAAAACCACAAAGAATTTTAATCACAAGTAAAATATAACGTCTTAGAAAGGGATTTGTTTTCTTAAATAAGCAGGTAGTAAGTAACCTAATTTTAAAGCAAAAACAAACTATTCAGAATACATTTTACAGAAAAATCACTTAAATTTAAGATTATTTCTGCATACGAGCATATTTTCAATTTATCTAGAGAATGCTTCATTTTTGCAGGTAGACAGGAGCAGCATGAACATTCTACTAAAGCTCTTTTTTCTGTTAAACACTGGCTGAGCATCATATTAGTATTCGGTGAGCTTTGAAATGTCCCAATGCGTGTGTGTGTGTGTGTTTGTGTGTGTGCTGCTGAACTCACTCCTCGTTGAGTATGGCGTAGTTCTGCACCTCGGTGGGGTTTGGCAGATACTCCAGCACCGCGTCCAGCAGCGGCTGAACTCCTTTATTCTTCAGAGCGCTGCCCACCAGCACAGGACTGAAGGAGCGCTTGACTGTTGCTCTTCGCACTGCAGCCTGAGCACACACACAGATAACACTCAACAACTGATGATCTGCACACACACTACAGCTACAACTCCAGCAGAAAGACCAGCTTCATCAATCGTCACTTCCACGAATCAATAGCAGTGTTTTATCTTCAGGTGATCGGATGTAAATGTGTGTGATGCGACTTTGCAGCTTTACTTTTTTCCAGGTTTGAATTGTAAAACATCTGAGTGGATGGAAACAGAGCTACTGTAACAAGGAGGTCTTAAACTAAGACAGAAGTCAGGGTTTAGTGAGTACTGCAGTAAACCTTGAGGTCGAGGACAGTGGGAACTCTCTCCTCCAGAAACATCTCTCCCAGCGTCTCGTCAGCATTAGCGACACACTCCACTAGCTCCTGCCGGCGGTCTGCGGCTTCACTGCGCATCTCTGGCGGGATGTCCTCATAGCGCACACTCTCACTGCACACACACAGCAGAGCGCATGAGAAAACAGCTAAGCAATACCAAAATAAACCCAAATCACAGTATAAGCAATAACAATAAAATCACATATCAAAGTAATCTCGATACAATCACACAAAGTAATCATAATATACATTAATCTCGATATAACCACGAATCAAAGTAATCATGATATAAGTAATCTCGATATAACCACGAATCAAAGTAATCATGATATAAGTAATCTCGATATAACCACGAATCAAAGTAATCATGATATAAGTAATCTCGATATAACCATGAATCAAAGTAATCACGATATAAGTAATCTCGATATAACCGCGAATCAAAGTAATCACGATATAAGTAATCTCGATATAATCACGAATTAAAGTAATCATGATATAAGTAATCTCGATATAATCACGAATCAAAGTAATCACGATATAAGTAATCTCGATATAACCATGAATCAAAGTAATCATGATATAAGTAATCTCGATGTAATCATGAATCAAAGTAATCACAATATAAGTAATCTCGATATAACCACGAATCAAAGTAATCATGATATAAGTAATCTCGATATAACCATGAATCAAAGTAATCACGATATAAGTAATCTCGATATAACCGCGAATCAAAGTAATCACGATAAAAGTAATCTCAATATAACCGCGAATCAAAGTAATCACGATAAAAGTAATCTCAATATAACCATGAATCAAAGTAATCACGATATAAGTAATCTCGATATAATCGAAATCAAAGTAATCACGATATGAGTAATCTCGATATAATCACGAATCAAAGTAATCACGATATAAGTAATCTCGATATAATCATGAATCAAAGTAATCACGATATAAGTAATCTCGATATAACCATGAATCAAAGTAATCACGATATAAGTAATCTCGATATAATCACGAATCAAAGTAATCACGATACAAGTAATCTCGATATAATCATGAATCAAAGTAATCACGATATAAGTAATCTCGATATAACCATGAATCAAAGTAATCATGATATAAGTAATCTCGATATAACCATGAATCAAAGTAATCACGATATAAGTAATCTTGATATAACCATGAATCAAAGTAATCATGATATAAGTAATCTCGATATAATCACGAATCAAAGTAATCACGATATAAGTAATCTCGATATAATCACGAATCAAAGTAATCACGATATAAGTAATCTCGATATAACCATAAATCAAAGTAATCATGATGTAAGTATTCTTGATATAATCACGAATTAAAGTAATCACAATATAAGTAATCTCGATATAATCACGAATTAAAGTAATCACGATATAAGTAATCTCGATATAACCATGAATCAAAGTAATCACGATATAAGTAATCTCGATATAACCATGAATCAAAGTAATCACGATATAAGTAATCTCGATATAACCATAAATCAAAGTAATCACGATATAAGTAATCTCGATATAACCATGAATCAAAGTAATCACGATATAAGTAATCTCGATATAACCATAAATCAAAGTAATCACGATATAAGTAATCTCGATATAATCACGAATTAAAGTAATCACGATATAAGTAATCTCGATATAACCATGAATCAAAGTAATCACGGTATAAGTAATCTCAATATAACCATGAATCAAAGTAATCACGATATAAGTAATCTCGATATAATCACGAATTAAAGTAATCACGATATAAGTAATCTCGATATAACCATGAATCAAAGTAATCACGATATAAGTAATCTCGATATAACCATAAATCAAAGTAATCACGATATAAGTAATCTCGATATAATCACGAATTAAAGTAATCACGATATAAGTAATCTCGATATAACCATGAATCAAAGTAATCACGGTATAAGTAATCTCAATATAACCATGAATCAAAGTAATCACGATATAAGTAATCTCGATATAATCACGAATTAAAGTAATCACGATATAAGTAATCTCGATATAACCATGAATCAAAGTAATCATGATATAAGTAATCTTGATATATCCCAAATAAAAGTAATCACGATATAAGTAATCTCGATATAATCACGAATTAAAGTAATCACGATATAAGTAATCTCGATATAACCATGAATCAAAGTAATCACGATATAAGTAATCTCGATATAACCATAAATCAAAGTAATCACGATATAAGTAATCTCGATATAACCATGAATCAAAGTAATCACGATATAAGTAATCTCGATATAACCATAAATCAAAGTAATCACGATATAAGTAATCTCGATATAATCACGAATTAAAGTAATCACGATATAAGTAATCTCGATATAACCATGAATCAAAGTAATCACGGTATAAGTAATCTCAATATAACCATGAATCAAAGTAATCACGATATAAGTAATCTCGATATAATCACGAATTAAAGTAATCACGATATAAGTAATCTCGATATAACCATGAATCAAAGTAATCATGATATAAGTAATCTTGATATATCCCAAATAAAAGTAATCACGATATAAGTAATCTCGATATAATCACGAATTAAAGTAATCACGATATAAGTAATCTCGATATAACCATGAATCAAAGTAATCATGATATAAGTAATCTTGATATATCCCAAATAAAAGTAATCACGATATAAGTAATCTCGATATAACCACGAATCAAAGTAATCACGATATAAATAATCTCGATATAACCATGAATCAAAGTAATCATGATATAAGTAATCTCGGTATAATCATGAATCAAAGTAATCACGATATAAGTAATCTTGATATATCCCAAATAAAAGTAATCACGATATAAGTAATCACGATATAAGTAACCTCAATATAAACACGAATCACAGTAATCACGATGTAAGTAACCTCGATAAATTCACGTATCAAAGTAATCACGTATTGAAATAATCCAGACAATCACATATACAAGTAATCTCAATTGAATCTATAAGAGGTATGAAGCAAACGCTGTACCCGAACGGGCCATCAAAGACGATGCTGCGCTCCTCGATCAGGTCAATGATCCCGCGCAGATTCCCCTCCAGCCCGATGGGGATGTTCACAAACGCTGCATTCTGATTCAGTTTAGTCCTGCAAAAAACACACAGATTCTTTTATTGTACTTTGCTTGCATTTTGGTTGTGTTAATGTTGTGTTTTGGTTGTGTTCATGTTGTGCTTGTGTTGATGTATGTGTTTTGGTTGTGTCCTGACCTGAGCTGCTGCAGTGCTCTGTTGGGATTGGCTCCCAGTCGGTCCAGTTTGTTGATGAAAGTGAGGAAGGGAACGCTATATCGCTTCATCTGTCTGTTCACAGTCACCGTCTGACACTGAACTCCTCCGACCGCACACAGAACCAGCACCGCCCCGTCCAGCACACGCAGAGATCGCTCCACCTCGATGGTAAAGTCCACATGACCTGACACACACACAAAATTAAGTCTTGCACGTATGGAGAAATGCAAATAACATACGTGTTGCCAGATAGTGACGGAGCTCTGTTTGACTGCATATTCTCACCTGGTGTGTCGATGATGTTGATGTTGTGGTTTTTCCACATGGTGTAAGTGGCAGCGGACTGGATGGTGATTCCTCTCTGTCTCTCCAGCTCCATAGAGTCCATGATCGCTCCCACCCCATCCTTACCCCTCACCTGAGCACACACAAACAACTGTAAGCGGAAATACACTGCGATTTGGAGAGAATACAGATCCAAGACTAAAGCCCTATCTAAATGATTGGTTGAAACCTGAAATATGGGAAAACTGTCCTCTAAACTCACAATCACATTACATATTTCAAATCAGCAACCCAATCTGAAGTGGTCTGACGGATTACTGCTGTAGCTTCAGCTCCAAGTAGGTTTAAAACACTTCCTTTCCAGTTGTTCTGGAGCTATTGTGTTTGTGCAATGCTTGGCATGGCATCACTCTCCTTTACGGCTGGTGAGCAGAGGATGGAGTTATAAACTTTGTCTGCACGTCTCGTTCTCACCTCATGCATCTCCGCTATTCTGCCGGTGTAGTACAGCACTCTCTCGGTCAGCGTGGTCTTCCCGGAGTCAATGTGCGCTGAGATGCCGATGTTCCGGATCCGCTCGTTCGGTGTGATGCCATTTGAGCAGGAGCGACAGCTGATCAACACCTGAGACATCAGAGAGATTCAGAGATATCAGAGAGAAATACAGGTACATGAGAGATTCAGAGACATGAGAACCGTGAGACATCAGAGAGTGATCAGAGAGACATACCGATACATTAGAGAGACATAAGAGAGTGATCAGAGAGACAAGAGACATCAGTGAGACATCAGACAGTGATCAGAGACATACCGATACATCAGATACATGAGACATCAGTGAGACATCAGTCATCAGAGAGACATACAGATACTTGAGTGAGTTAGAGACATCAGTGAGACATCAGAGAAACACAGATGAATGAGAGATAGAGACATCAATGAGATATCAGAGAGACGTACAGATACATGAGAGATACAGGGACATCAGAGAGACACCAGAGTCATCAGAGAGACATACAGATACATGAGAGATACAGAGATATCAGAGAGCAATGCATATGAAGGAGATATTCAGAGAAATCAGTGAGACATCAAGGAGAAATACCGATACATGAGAGATTCAGAGACATGAGTGAGACATAAGATCAGTGAGACACCAGAGAGTCATCAGACATACAGATACACAAGACACAGAGACATCAGAGAGACAAAAAATACTTCAGAAAGAAATCAGTGAGACACAAAAAAGACACAAGAGAGACATCAGAGATACACAGACATCAGTGAGACAAAAAAGAGACACAAAACTGTACCACAGAGACATCAGTGACACAGAGACATTAGAGAGACATCATTGAGACATTAGAGAGACAATAGAGACACAAAAATACACCAGAGACATCAGTGATACACAGAGACATCAGAGAGACATCAGTGAGACACAAAAAGACACCACAGAGACATCAGAGATACACAGCGACATCAGTGAGACAAAAATACACCAAAGACATCAGTGAGACATAGATATCTGAGACATTAGAGAGACATCAGTGAGACATTAGAGAGAAAATAGAGACACAAAAATATACCACAGAGACATCAATGAGACACAGGAAAATCAGAGATTTCGGTGAGACTGATACATCAGTGATACACAGAGACATTAGACATCAGTGAGACAACAGTGAGACAAAAAATACTTCAGAAAGAAATCAGTGAGACACAAAAAGACACCAGAGATCAGAGATACACAGAGACATCAGTGAGACAACAAAGAGACACAAAACTGTACCACAGAGACATCAGTGACACAGAGACATTAGACAGACATCAGTGAGACAACAGACACAAAGATACACCACAGAGACATCAGTGAGACAACAAAGAGACACAAAACTGTACCACAGAGACATCAGTGAGACACAGAGACATCAGAGAGACATCAGTAAGACAAAAAATACTTTAGAAAGAAATCAGTGAGGCACAAAAATACACCAGAGAGACATCAGAGATACACAGAGACATCAGTGAGAAAACACCAAACAGATATGACGGGACAGTAGAGACACACAGCGAGATGACGAGGGGGAAATGGCATCATTGTACCATCCGGAGACAGAAAGAGGATCAGCAGGAGACTGACAGAGACACCAGAGAGAGACACACAGCGCGCTATGCTCTGAGTATGCGATATGTAACAGTAAATACACACCTGCTGTAAAGTGCTGTGTCCTGGCCGGTGCAGACGCGCCAAAGATGATGCTGCTCTCAGAAGCCGCATTGTGAACAACTGAAGATGTGTGTGTGTGTGTGTGTGTGTGTGTACGTGTGTGTGTGTTAGTTTACTCTCGTGTCACACACACGAGCTCAAAGTCACGCCGACCGGCTGCTTGTGAAACAGCTTCCTGGTTTACGGCGAGCCGGAGAGGGCAAAACAGACGAACGCATTTTCGATTTTCCTGATGGTTGACCTTCATGAGCCTAGACTTTATTAGAAATACTATGGGCTGTTATAATTATGCTATTATATAAAATATTTTTGCGCAATTGTCAATTATACATTAATATGTGTATATACTTTTGATGAAAGAGTGCAATTTTACAGATCGTATATGACTAATAAACTAATGCTTAATGAAATGTAAAGATTTTATTAGTTGTTTATGTATTGATACACTTTTGATGCATTTTTCGCACAGATGAAATTCAGAAACACGTACAGCTCGAAACGAATCAGCTGAAAGAGGCCAAATGGTGTAGGCTGATAGAGGAGTTTAGCGGTTTTAGAATGTGACGTGACACTATTAACGCGGGAGCTGCTCACTTTGTGTACAGTATAGTGTTTAACGCGTGTTTACAGTTGTTGATATCGATTATATTGCGATTATAAGACGCTAATGTTGGGATAGCACTATATAGCGTGATCAGGACAGCACTGACATCCGCCGACCACTAGGTGGAGGTCCAACGCCACCAACTTTTACCTCACACAGTGGGTCCAAAAAAAGCTGGATTAAAATTGTCCTTAGGCAATAATGTGAGCTATTTTAGGACTACTTTGATGAAAGGTTTTGTTCCACTTCTAATGTTGACTACTGTATACTGACCAAGTACACATAAGTGATTGGTCAAAACAAAAGCTACGGCTCATCCATATACACTTAGCACCCTCTTTATTAGATTGACAGAGTAACAAGGTGAATCCTGATTGTGAAGGGCCTCTATCGTGTATCAACAGGTTGATGAAAATCACCTCATCATTTACTCTCCCTGGTGTGGTTTTAAACCTTTCTGAGTTTCAATCCTAAACTTAACCCTCACACTAATGTAAAAACAGTAATTATACAGAGTATTCATATTAATAAATTACACATTTAATGTATTTAATGTCTACTCGTAACCCAGCCCTAAACCCCACCTCATAGTAATGAGACAAGATTAATTATTGTTGTACAGTGTCACAATAATTATGCTTTATTGGTGTGGTTGTGTTCTCCAGAGATGGGTTGCAGCTGGAAAGTCATTTCTGCTTAAAACATGTGTTGGATAAGTTGGTGGTTCATTCCACTGTGGCGACCCCAAACTAATAAAGGGACTAAGCTGAAAAGAAAATGAATGAATGAATGAATGATGTGATTGTGGGTGTAAGACACACAGCACATAGCACATAGGCCACTGGTACGGGTCCCGGCTGGGTCAGTTGACATTTTTGTGTGGAGTTTGCATGTTCTCCCCGTGTTGGCATGGGTTTCCAAAATTAATATAACAATAACATTCATTTTCCTTCGCTTAGTCCCTTTATTCATCCAAAAATTCCACAGCGGAATGAACCTGCAACTTATCCAGCATATATGTTTTACACAGAAGATGCCCTTCTAGCTGCAACCCAGTACTGGGAAACACCCATACACCATACACACCTATAACGCATGTGTTTGGACTGTGCGGGAAACCGGAGCAAACCCATGCCAACATGGGGAGAACATGCAAACTCCACAAAGAAATGACAACTGACCCAGCTAGGACTCAAACCTGTGACCTTCTTGCTGTGAGGACACAGTGGTAACCACTGAGCCATGTCGCCCCAAATTAATAACATACTTTTGATAACCTGTCTAGTTCAAGTCAACAATCTTAAAGGGACACAGAACTGAAAATGACTCTCCCTCATGTGGTTTTAAGCCTTTACGTGTTTCTTTCCTCCGTTAAACACAAAAGAAGATAGTTTGAAGAATGCTGGTTGCTGGGTTCCATTGATGTCCATAGTAGGAAACAAAATACAATGAAAGTCAATGGGTGCCAGCTATCAGCATTCTTCAAAATATCTTCTTTTTTTTTGCGTTTAACAGAACAAGTGAAGGGGGCGTTTAATTATTTTGGGTCAATGATGGATCAAATCAGGAGGCAAATGACGCTAGCTGATCACAGACCAGCACAAACTTCATTTATTTCTGTATTTGTTGTTCAGTGTGTTGATAAACGCAGGATTTTCAACAGTACTCAAAGCTTTTCCTCGATAATTAGCACATAAAAAGCGCTGTAAAAAGTATTGCTAATACCAAGAAGACAATGAAGTGAAAACTGAAACATTGATATACAGATGTCTACCTCCATGCACATGTTTTTGAGGGTGTATATGATAATTACTGCAGAATAAACACATTCACATCATCAGTGCATTACAGAAGGGACTCCCGCATATGGTCCTGTTCAAGGCTCCGGTTCCAGCATCTGTCAGATAGATATCTGCTTTATAGACATGGCCTCTTTCCTCTGGCTTTATTTCTTACACACATTTACAGACAACGAAATGAAAGACTTGTATTTTTAAGAAAAGACGTTAATAGTGAAACAGACTTGATAATATTTCAGCATGTTTGTGTTTGGAGAATGGATGGTTTAAAGGGATAGTCCATCCTAAAAATGAAAGTGTCCTGTTAACTTATGCTGAGTTCAGACTGTGTGATTTTGACTCGCTGACAGGTTTTGAGAAATCACAGGCAAATCGGTGCTCGTGAGTGACAATCACACATTGTGAACTATCAAAGACGAGATCTGAGAGAATCGGAGCTGTCTGCGATTCAAATCCTGCCAATGAGTTCTGACTGAAAATAACATCAGCGATCGCCTACAGCCAATGAGAGAGCAGCATTCACTAGTGTGTGTGTACCTGCAGGCCAGCGGTAGGCTGGGAAGATGTTAAAAGCGCTCATTTAGTTTATTTGGACCCAAGAAATAGAGGAAAAACTAGTGGAGGTTTGACAGGAGCGCCCGTGTCTGTTTGACGTTTCATACAGAAAGTTAAAGAAGAAAGTTAAGGAGAGATTGCTAATTCCCTTCAAACCCAGGTGAGCAAATCTGTACATTTTCTAGCCATTAAAGGCTTCTTTCTCGTTATGTAGTTAATAACAAAAGATATACGATGTGTTTTTGGCTGTGAGATGTAGTTTCAAGAGTTCCCACTTAGATATGCTTAGCATTTATAGCAGGTTTGGCATGAGAGAACCCTGAGCTCGGAGATATTTGACCACCCGGTCAATAAGCACATCAGGGGATCCGAGATCAGGTCGGTCTCGATAGCTCACCCTTTAGAAAGGGGAGAAAAAGGAGGAGATGGGGTGGAAGGGGGGATTCTTCCAAAACAAAGATAGAGCAATAAGGAGAAAGTGATCCATTTATATTAAGCTAGGATCATTCTGATTGGATTATTACTGATTACGGATGAGAGGCCAGCAGTGCACGATCATATCACGTGCTCCTCTCGAAATTAGTTTGTGAAACTTCACTTAGACGAAGTTGTCGGCGATTCTATCTATTGTAAAGTCATGCATGGTGAAAGCCCCTGTCGCCGATTCATCTTGCAGTGTAAACAAATCTGCGACAAAACACCAGCCCAGATAGTCATGCAGTGTGAACACATCTGCGACACGACTAAAAAGTGAAACTCGGTTGTTTTTGCGTTAATTCAAGCAAATTCGTTTCTCCGGTTTGAAACTAATTTTTGAAGTTGCGTCACGGCTATGAGATCTTAGCGAGTATTCCAGTGTGTAGACTGGACGTCCGTACCTGGGAGTACCTTATGACGTCTCTGAGTGTGCTGCATTCATTCATGAGTAAGACTTGGTTTAAACCAATCAGAGAGCTCTATTGTGTATGAGGTGAACTTCATTAATATGCATGATCGCTTCCAAGACTGTTTTGACCAGTTAAGGCTGATTTATACTTCTGCATCAAGCGCACGCGTATGCTACGGCGCAGCCTACGTGTTGACGCATAGCCCTACGCCGTGGCCGTCGCTGATGTGCACCTATCAAAAAATGTAACTACACGTCGCACCGACGCATAGCGCAAGCTCTGTGATTGGTCGGCTTGGTAGCGCTGAAGAGTCTGGGCAGCACCGAGAGCCAGGCGAGCCCGATGGAGCGATTGTTTACATTAGTGGAGTCCAGGGAAGGAGCTCCGGATGGAAAGTTTCGTTTTGTGTTTACCTCATAGTTAAATTTGTTTGTTTCACGTCCGCCGGTTCCTGCCTCAAAATGAGCGAGTTTGAGCCACTTGTACATTCAGGAAGCGTTCAGAAAGAACTAAATACCAGCGAAGAAACTCAAAACAGAAGAACAAACACCTCTCTGCCAACTAGCGTTTCGAAAGTGTTAATGCAGATCAACAGAGACAGCGCGCAGAAGTATAAATGCACAGCTACGCGAGTTGCATGCGCCGTGGGTTACGCGGGTCACTTGACGCAGAAGTATAAACCAGGCTTTACAGTGTTCAGACGGCAAAGAGATGACACGTTGTGTTGCCAAAACAAGTAGAAGAAGAAGAATTGTTTGGAGATATGAGTCGTCAGTGTTGCGTTTATTAATGTGCTGCAGTGAAGGTTTTGTTTTCACTTCCCCGCTATGAGAGCGCAGCTGGACACACGTGTGAATTACACTCCCATATAAACAGAGCTGGACACGCCCATTTGAATGACCTTTTCCAAACTAGAGGTGTCAAAACACCCTGCTGAGACAGGGGGTGGGGGGGGGGGTCCTGGCCCTTTAATGTTCTACTGTGGGAAAAATGTCAATTTAACAGGCAATGTTCATTTTCGAGGTGAACTATCCCTGTGTGGACTGTTTATCAGTGTACAGGTACAGATGAGATGATCAGAAGCAGCACATCAGCAGAGTCTTCTAGTGATTAAAGTGACAGTGCATGATGATGACAACACTATTAGGGTTTGAAAGGAAAAGCACAGACTGCACAGTATAGACAAATATTTATAGCTCAGTGGTATAAAAGTGTACTCCTGTAGAAATAACTCTCCGAATGAAATAATCCTGAAGGGAAGAGAGTTTCTGCTGGCGATGCACTGCTGGAGTTTGTGATGTGAGTCAGACATGAGCAGGTCAGATGATGAGGACGCTGCGGTAAGAGGTCAGCAGTGTTTTATTCTGAAGGAGCTTTAGTGCTTCTTGACGCTGGAGCCTGTCATGTGGAGCTTTTGATTTCCTTCAGCTGCTCTGGAGTCTCTGGAAACACAGAAGGGTGAAGAAATAAATACATTCAACAGGACAAACATCACCGCAGCCCCGACTGTTGTTCTTACATGACCTCTGACATTACAGTGTGGTGTAATACGGCTGTGTCCAGGCATCAGCTGATTAGCGGAGTTATTTAAAGAGCATTAACCAATGGCCAACACTGCACTCATATCCATCCATCCATTCGTCCGTCTATCTATCTATCTATCTATCTATCTATCTATCTATCTATCTATCTATCTATCTATCTATCTATCTATCTATCTATCTATCTATCTATCTATCTATCTATCTATCGTTCTATCGTTCTGTCTATCTATCTATCTATCTATCTATCTATCTATCTATCTATCTATCTATCTATCTATCTATCTATCTATCTATCTATCTATCTATCTATCTATCGTTCTATCGTTCTATCGTTCTATCTATCTATCTATCTATCTATCTATCTATCTATCTATCTATCTATCTATCTATCTATCGTTCTGTCTATCTATCTATCTATCTATCTATCTATCTATCTATCTATCTATCTATCTATCTATCTATCTATCTATCTATCTATCTATCTATCTATCTATCTATCTATCTATCCATCCATCCATCCATCCATCCATCCATCCATCCATCCATCCATCCATCCATCGATCTATCTATCTATCTATCTATCTATCTATCTATCTATCTATCTATCTATCTATCTATCTATCCATCCATCCATCCATCCATCCATCCATCCATCCATCCATCCATCCATCCATCCATCCATCCATCCATCCATCTATCCATCCATCTATCTATCTATCTATCTATCTATCTATCTATCTATCTATCTATCTATCTATCCATCTATCTATCTATCTATCTATCTATCTATCCATCCATCCATCCATCCATCCATCCATCTATCCATCCATCCATCCATTCATAAGATAATTATTATGGTATAATCAGGTAAAACTAAAGGCATATAATAAGACAATGAAATAGTTTTTGACCTTGCATGCAGATCAGCCAGTAGTTGGAGACCCTCAAAACCAAAATATGACCTTTTATATTGCACAATAGGGGCTCTTTAAAAAATATTTGATATAATGCATACTATGGGATTCAGGTGTCAGAAGTGCTGGTGTCACTGACCTGTGTGTGTGTTGTGGTGCTGTGATGGCCGCTCGGTGCACAGTTCTGTGTTTCGGAGCCTCTAAACGGGCCGTGGGTGCAGAAACCTGGAATCTGGACACCTCCTGCTGCCATTCCTGATCAAAGGCCTGCGCCTCGGCTGAAAACACAACACACAAACAGCTGGGAGAGACCGCTTGAGTGTTGTGGGTGCTTTCTTACCGGTATTTAAAGGGATAGTTTACCCTGAAATAACAATTTACTGACCATTTGCTCATTCTTAAAATCTTTGAAAGACAAACACTGACAAAAATGCTCTTCTTACTAAGAGGTTTTGTCTTGTGTCTAGTCTAAATATCAAGAAATTCTTAAATCAATAAACATTTTCTTGACAAGTCAAAAATATTGTCTTGTTTCCAGAAATGATGAGACAAAATTAAGTGAGTTTTTTCCCTAAAACAAGCCAAATAATCAGCCAATGACTTAATCTAGAAAACTAGATTATTTTACTCAGCATTGTTGGCAGTGAGTTTCTATTGTCTGTTGAACATAAAAGAAGATGTTTTGAAGCATGTTGGAAACCGGTAACCATTGACTTCCATAGAGGGGAACAAATTGTCACCGGTTTCAATAGTATATCATCCTTTGTTTTTATTATTTTTGAAAACCGGTAGCCATTGGATCACATTAGAAGAACAATACCACTGAAGTCATGTACAAACATCTGAAGAGTTCATTTGCAAACTCCTCAAAGTGCACTGACTTTTCTTCTAAAATGAGGATTTTTCTAAGCCTCCTGTGTGTAGGTTTAGTAATTTCACTTCTATGGCAAAGACCAGCGTATTTGTATTGTCTTTAAAGTGAAATGATGGTAGATCGGTAAGGGCTCATTCACACTGAACGCTGCTTTGTTTTAAAAACGTGCGAGATGCAGCGCTCAGGAATGGGTTTTACAAAAACACAGCACAGCATGAGGTCCATCCGATGGGATATTATAAACGTGAAGTAAAATCGACAAGAAAACAATATGTTATGATAAACACTTATAACTCAGGATATTACCTCCTCCGCCATGATATAACGGTAAATAAAATGATTGTCATGACAGCTTTCTACTATAGACAGAAGCACTACGCTCATTTAATTGGTCCACTGCTTTAAAAGACGCGAGCGTAACAGTCACACACATCCATCCAAGCGTGTGTTTACATTGAAAAACAGTAGAAAAGAAGCTCATTGATGAGGAAAATGTGACTATATATATATATATATATATATATATATATATATATATATATATATATATATATATATATAATGTGACCCTAAATAGTGACTGAATTTTAAGTTTTGGGTGAACTATTCAAAACAGCACACAGATAATGTTCTCTAGCCCTCTGAAACTGACCTTTTCAGGATTTGATCATAATTGTGGTGTTTTGGTGACTGTCGCTTTAAATGCAAATGAGATTGTGCTCTTTTCAGAAGAAGGCGGAGCTACAGATGCCAGTGTGTCAGCATAGTGGCAGATTCAAACACAAGACTAACGGCCTATGCTAATGAGGGAGAGATGGTCACTAGTGGGCGGGGCTTTCCCCCTCTGATGACATCATACAAAGGAAAAAAGTCAATCAAAATGTTTCTGCAGACTCTTTTCATCAAGTCTGACAATAAACAATACAGTTAATACATGTTGACCATTGGAAGCTGGAGATATTCACACACTGCTGACACACAACTGGGTTTAAACAACTGTGCCCTATAACGTTTGCCACATGCCAAATGTGAATAAAATATGAGCCATTTAAATGAATGCTCACTTTCGTCCATGTTCTGGAAGTCCTGGTTGAACTCTTTCTCTCCAGTCTTCCTGTTCTCCTTCCTCTCGATGACGTGTCCTCTGTCCTGGATGTGATGGCCGATGGACATCTTCTGGAGTCCACTCTCAGAGTCCCGCAGAGACTTCTTGGTCTCCTTTATCTGGACACAGAGCACACACCAGCTGCTGATGCTGATCAGAGAAGTGTGTGTGTGTGTTAGCTGATCAGAAGAGTGTGTGTGTGTGTCTGTGTGTGTGGTACTCACTCCTCCAGGAGCACAGCGCGTCTGAGACGAGGCTGCGAACACTTTTGCCGGCTCGTCTCCTACTTTCGAGTAGGTCATGACAGAGGAGGAGGAGAAGGAGTGGCTGTTGGAGTCTGGAGATGACATGCTGTCCTGGAGGAAACACAAACAGAAGAATAAGCGGCGTGTTATTGACTGGAAATGTGCTGTTTTCGGCTACAACGCTCTCATGTAAACATAGCTTTAGGAGCCGGTCACACCAAACGGGCTTTCCGTTGTGATACTAGAAGAAAAGAAGTGTGCTGCACTTTTTATGTTGCTAGGCAACCACTAAATCAGCTGCGCATTGTACACCAGCGCTGCTGTTGATATTAGCCCCTTTCACACATACAGAACTTTATATGTGAAAGGTTGTATGTGTGAACAGGTCCTTTTTGAAAATACCGGCAAATTCGTTCTGGATATTTTCCGGAAAGTGAAGTTGTAACATTACCGGCAATTAGCCAGAATGCTGCGCTGTGTGAATGCAGAAGGAAGTTGCCGAAAAGAGCGCAAACACGTCTTGAACGTGCTGACGTGAGACGTCTACTTTAGCCAATCAGAACACTCAGACGCATTCACGTCCGCGCGGTTTATGAGAACAAATGAAAATAAATACATTTATGAAAAGAAGTATATATATATATATATATATATATATATATATATATATATATATATATATATCTGACTCTGGATGGCCAGTCCGCCACTGCACCTTGGTCCTACATTCATTTCAAAGGAGCGCTACCCTGTACTAAAATGGCGGCTTTAATGATGCCTTTCTTCCAATAGACGACAATAGCGTAGACGACATCTAATGTAAATATCTATGCTTTAAAATGCTCCTAGCGTGACTGAGTTCACATAAATCCACAGTATCTATCTGTCACAAGATGATTCAGACTTTCAGCCACAGATGTCTGTTTTGGCCATGAGATGAGGCATTTTTACACCTTGATAAATTTAGGGAGTGCGAGACAACACTTTATCTGCCTCACTTTATCTAATATCCATGTAAACATAGGCACTGTAATAAGATGAGATACTGCTGTAATGTCAGAAAGAGATCAGACTTACAGTATGTCTGTGCATCGCCTCCATCCGGTTCCTCATGCTTTCCATCATAGAGAAAGGATTGGCAAAGAAGTCCAGCTCCTGATGACAAGAATCACACACACACACACATTAGTGATGCCGCAGACAACCCTTCAGCACAGAATACTGTATGATTTAATAACACACATTCACCCACTGCCATCTATATAGTGTAGACAATAATTGCACTGTATATATATATATATACATACATACATATATATATATATATATATACAGGGCTCAACAATAAGGGCTGCCCGGTGGCCCAGGGCCAGCGTAAAAGACACTTGGGACAGTAGACCGGATCATTCTTGGCCTGATTGGGACAGTGCTGCCTTGTCGCTTAAATTGAACTAGTTTGTGACTATTTGTCAATTGCGTGCGTTTTAAGTTTGTGCTTTTAAATCTTTAAATGCTACCTTCTCTGTAATGTCGTAAGCAACATATTGCTTTCCGATTCGTCTTATCTGATTGATTTGACCATGCTACTTTTTTTTTTTTGTAACCTGGTAACAACCAGTACAGCGTAGAAACAGCAACATGGCGGCAACATCAAATTAAAAGGCTAAACGAAAATGTCTGTCTCTAACGTGTTGGAAGTAGACATTTACGTGGAAACAACACGACAAAATAAAAATGAAGTGATGTTATGCATAGTTTGCCGTCAGTTTGACAAGTCAGCCACCTTTTGTTAAGTAATTTCAAACTGCAATAAAATGCCTCCACATTTTCCATACTGCTCTTTTTCTTTGCATAACACGTATATTTACAATTGTTTTTTAAGTATTGAAATTCTAGATTTACAGACTTTATTTTTGACACATTATTTAAAATATGTGGTTAAAAATAGCTATTAACTTCCCTTTTTTTTTGGTGGGGCCAGTTAAAATTTTAGCAGGGCAAGTAAAAATCTAAACCACTTAAGAGTAGAAAAAATCCTTAGCGTTGAACCCTGATATATATATATATATATATATATATATATATATATATATATATATATATATATATATATATATATATATATATATATATATATATATATATATATATATATAATCATTTAACTCTTTATTGCTTTTAAAGGGGGCTAATATTATTGACCTTAAAATGGCTTTAAAACAATTAAGAACTGCTTTTACTATAGCCAAAATAAAACTATTAAGACTTTCTCCAGAAGAACAAATATTATAGCAAATTCTGTGAAAATTTCCTGAATCTGTTCAACATCCTTTGGGAAAAATCACAGGAGGGCGAATAATTCTGACTCAGATCAAATCTGACTCTTGTGTGAAAATGAAAACTCCTTGTGTTTTTAAATGTGGATGGACTTCAGATGTGAAAAGTGTGTGTAAAAACGTGTTGAAGGTTTCTGCTGAGCGCTGTGAATGTCTTCTCAGATTGGTAGCTGTCACCTCTGGTTATCACATCTAATAACGGAGGAGCAGCTGGAGTTCAGCTTTAGTTATAAACCATCAACACCCTGCAGATAATACAGCCTGGGAGAGGACGCCACCAGGCTATCTGCCTGTATTTTTAAGTGCTGCTCAGATGCTATTTTAGGTGGCTGTGGGCCTGAGGTCGTGACCCATTTATGCTACAGGCTAACACAGCGCCAAGTCTCGTCTTACAGCTCCAGATGATTCAACACACCCAATGGGGAAAAGCACTTATGATTCAGAAAATGAGCCGTACAGGAGTTCTAGGAAGAGTTCTGGGAATAATCAGAGCATCAGAAACTTTCTCAGGTTACTGAACGAACACGTCTGTTGCTAAAACACACATGTGAATCATGAGCATGTGCTAATATCAAGTCAAGTAGAGCTTTATTGTCATGTGTGGACATACAGTGGAATGAAATGTCATGTCTTGCAGGATCGCGGTGCTATATCAATAAGCGTAAGTATGAACACAACACTGGGAGTGAGAGCTATTTTAAACCTATACATAACTAACATACTGGAGCGCTAATCTAACTATACATACACTATAAATACTTCACGGTACACATAACCTAAGACGGACTATACAAGAACTTTTACACAAGACAGAAAAATAGTGCAAGAAATTGAGCAAAAGAGGTATTTAAAGCTAAAAAGCAAGTATGTTTTGAGGCACATTCACAAGTAAACACTTTTCTCCTTATCGAGTCCTTGTAAGATGGAGTGTCTGGTGGAAAAGTGGTGCATTTGAAGAGTTTCTACAGGTGGTTTGTTAAGCCCACTCACTCTAGCTAACAGCAAGCTAAGTTTGCTACTTGCTCACACTCTAATGTCAGGCTATCGGAAAGCAGTAATCTGGTCTGTCAGTAAAGTACACAAACAGTGCAAAGCTTAACGTGCACACTGTGTGTGTGCTATCCGCTTGTTAAGTGGTGACGTGTTTGTGACGTATGTAATACTGTTTCCGGGTCCAAGCCGCCATTCATTTGAGTGGAGAAATCATTCGATTATGATCACGTTTTATTCCTATCACACATTAAAGTTAATTTTATATAAAATCATAGTGTACACAACAATCCCTGGGCTTGCTGCATAACAAATACCAAAAATGTAACAATTTATAAAAAAATGAATCACTTTCTGGCCAAAAGATATTAGGCATAGACATATATACTGCGGTCGTGACTTTCGAAAGCATTAAATTTGTAAACGTTTTTTATTACCATTTCATGAGTCTCCCCATTTAGTTGAATAGAGCGCTTGGACCCGGAAGCCGCTTCGCGTGACGTCACACTTAACAAGCAGATAAGGACATTGTGTGTGACTCACCGTTGCAGAAAGGCTTGAATTACCTCCATGACAAATACATCAAATAATCATTGGGAAAGTTCTTATTGTAGTATTTCTCACAAACGTTACGTGAGATCTGCTTTCTTCTTGCCTGTCACTGTGTTGTTTATTAGGGATGTGCACATCGATGCTTGAGTATCAACATATCGTTACTTAGAAGCTTCTAATTTGGTATCGATATTTTTTTAAAGTATCAATATTTCAACTATATTTTAATAATTTCTGCATAACTAAATGTTTTAGCGATGTGACGCTTTGTATACAAGACGTTACACCAATCAATCTGCGCCGGAACGTCATGTGAGCGATCATGTGCCTTTCAGATAACTTACGTACTCAACACACGCAAATCGCACACTTCTGCATTACGGAATGACACAATGGAAGAAACAATAGAGAGGTAACGCAACATGTTGTCATGCTCATTAGCTGAAAAAGCATTGCACGAGCAATATTTGTGTACACAGCAACAATTCAAGCAGTCTTTATAAACATTTATATATAGGTTTATATATATATATATATATATATATATATATATATATATATATATATATGTTCAAGTATATTTACATGTGATGATTTTTTTTTATTAACATTATTTAGTAAAATTACATTAACATTTGAAATAATAAGTGGTATTGATATCAGTATCGTTAAAAATTGTAACAAAAAGTATCGGTATCGTATCGAATTTAAAAATTGTGGTATCGGCCATCCCTACTGTTTATCTGACGCAGCTGGAGGCACACTCTGAAGCCTCATTCACACTCAGTGTTGCCAGATATAGATGACTTTTTCCAGCCCAAAAGCTGTCCAAAACTCACAAAAACGCACAAAAATGGCCAAAATATTAGATTTATTTACATTTTATTTATTTATTTACATTGAAATTAACCTAGTTACTTCAATTGCACTATTTTTTTACCATACAGCAACCCACACCAGCAGTCACAGAACAACAACATAACTGGATCACATGGAAACGCGCTCACCCACACATTGCACTTAACGTTGTGTAGGTTACACTACCTATTAGAGTAGGTTTTGCTTTCGAAATGGGGTACAAATTTGTCCTTTTTGCCATTTTAAATTCTTTTGAACATAATTAGGTGCAAGGGCGACGCAATTTATCCAGATGTACTAGTACTAGAGATGACAACTCTTGTTTCATTGCTCTAGCGGGTGAACAGATGCAGCATTTTCACCTGCTGTCCTATAAAACAGGTGAAAAGCTCCGCAGGCCCTGAGCCAGATTTACACACCAGAATAGAGTCTGCTTCGCCTGCAGTAGCAGCCAAGCACAGCTTCAGAAATAACAACTCAGTGGTGACCTTTCAAGACGGAAATACTTTCTAAATAATATATCGACTGAATCACATGATTACGAGCTGCTTCAACAGAACGGTCTGCAGTTATTATTATACACTTTACAATAGTCCGATTCCCAGAAAGCCTGAGAGTCAGAGGCGCAAAGCTTCTTTGTTGTCTTGAAAAACTCTCTTATTTCAAGCTTTCCTTTTTAAAGAAACGTATAAAAGCTCTGGTACACTACAAATCAATTGAGGTATGGGTAACTGCAGTCTGGAGCAATGGGCGTGGCAAAAGGTAGGGGCGTGGTCAAAGGTTTTTCATTGGTCGAATTTTTTTAGTAAAATCCACATATGAACGCGTGTCATTTATGTATCCTAATTTGCATACGTACACACTGACGTGTCAGATTTCTAAGTGGGATCGCTGTTCATGTCATCACATATGACCCCAACAAATGATCTTAAAATGCATCACGCAAAATAAATGGTACTTACGTTAGTGATGAACTGTGCGAACTTTGTGATTTTGCAGATGAGTGTGTATCATTAGTAGAGGTCTCAAAATATTGGCACAAAACAAACACCTAAACAAATTACCAACAGTTTTAATCGAAAAACAAAACTATCTTAATTCACGTCTGATTACAGCTGTCAGCAACACGTCTTACCATCGCGTTTGGTGATTTGCTGTTCAGCCAATGCATTTAACCGGGAATAAAACCTTTGACCAATGAAATAACTTTTACCACGCCCCTACCTTTAGCCACGCCCATTGCTCGAGACTGCAGTTACCCATACCTCAATTAATTTATAGTATAACAGACTTTTATACATTTCCTTAAATAAAAAGCCATACCAGAATTAATTTAATGATTAATATACTGTTTTCGAACACTCCAACACCCCTGTGCTACAGTAGGCGATGTTTTTGAATGATAAACTCAACACCAATGCCGACTGTGAGAGAAGAACAATTTCATAAACATTGTGCAACAGTAGTGTGCAGCTCTTCTTTGGGCCGCTCCAGCCAATAGCAGAACAGCAATTACTGTGGAGGCGGGGTTAAAAATAGTAAGGCCCCATCTGATTGGTCAAATTTACAATGACAACCAATGGATAACAGAAATGTCATTCATCACACTTCTGCGATATGTATCTTACAAATACCATTATCGCGATAACGATATGTTTGCGTTATGTTGTTTATCTTTTGAAATTACATTTATATCGCAATATAAACAATCAATATTGGGCAGCCATAAATGGAAGCTCTCATTCCTGTAGCCAGATGTACAGAAAGCATCCCGGGGTCAGTTAAACCCACAACACCACAGGAGAACACAACCGTAGTGAAGTATGAGCTCAAATACTCACTCGGTCACTGCGCTGGCGTGGGCCGGTGTTAGGATGTCTGTGACCCCGCTGGTGGACATCTGTGATGCTGGGCATGAAGCTCTGAGCGAAAGGGTCAGAAAACCCCCCCATCATCTGCCGCATGCGCTCGTGATGCAGCCTGAAGGGGTCGCTATAGAAAAAGACCAGAGACAACACAATGGAAAAATAAAATAACATCATCGCTGCGTCGCAATTCGCATACTTATACTATGTCCTAAAAGTATGTACATTGAAAAAGTCCATGCTTTTGAGTAACAGACGAGTGTGCAAGCTTGCCACAAACTACTTGCTCATTATGTTGCTTAGTTACACCACCTGTCAATCATCTCCACACCCTAATTCCATATGTAATTACTGACCACACTGGACATTCAGCTGCGTGTGAATCTGCCTTGAGATACCTCCTCAGGTGTTTAGATACTATGTATGCAGAAGTTAACGTCCAAGCACGTCTCTATTTAAGTTCAGCATTGATGTTCAGATGAAATATAACACAGAAAACGTGACTTAAATATTTTGCACTTGGCTAGATATTAATTCATTTGTCATTCAAACAACTTTACCAAAGGTCTTGCGTGTCCGCCATGTTTGTAGTTTGTTTTGCTTTTCACCCGAGTTTGTAGTTCTAATCGAATTTACACCCAATGCGCAATGTAATGTGCGTAATATTAGCAGTTAGAGTACAGACGGTTAAAGATAGTAAGCTCCAATCTGATTGGTCAAATGTATATGACATTTACAATTGTGATGCGTAAATTGCATAAACTATTAACGCAATACTGATCATTTTGCAATATACAACAACTTTATTAAATTTTTTAATATTCAAACGCATTCTCTTACAAGTTTTTTACAAAAAACTGGAGAGATACTGATAATGAAAACTACAATAATAGTTGTTTAGTGTTTGTGAGAGGGGTACTAATATCTTAAGTGTTAGCCTAATAGCAAAACTAGCCTAATATAAATCGCAGACAAAAAAATATTGCATTGTCGTGCAGCCCTATTATGGGCCGCTCCAGACAATAGTAGAACAGCAAATACTGAGAAGGCGGGGTTGAGGATAGTAAAGCCCCATCTGATTGGTCAAATTTAGAATAACAACCAATGCATGAAATAAACGTAATTTATCACACATGTCTGTGATATGTATTTTACAAATACTATTATCAAGATAAGAATATTTTTACAGTATACTTTAATTAAATTTTTGAGGTTGTGCAAAATTATCCTACATAAATGATTACGCTGTTTCCTGATGTTGAATGCAGTTCTAGACCTGATAGGAACTAATGGTACCCAACAGACACGCAATATCACAAGACGTTAATATTAGGTTAGATTTAGGCCGCCAGCGTCTACGGACAATGTTATTTTGACGTCTGATAATAAAATGACGTTGATATTTTGATTTTAGGTTGTGTTGGAAAGTGACCAAATTCCACCGTCCAGTCAAAATCTTAAACCAACATCATGTTGTAAGTCAAAATATAATATATTATTTCATATTATTACATTATATTATTATAAGTCAAATACTGAGATTTAATCGTAGTTCGCTTATTTATTTATTCACAATGGTAACGTCCACACAACGTCAAGCTGTAACATCATTACAAGTTGACAGTTAGTTGTTTTTAGGTTACGTTGGAAAGTAATTAAAATGTAATGTCTGTTCGATGCTGGAACCCTGATGTTGGGTTCTGACGTCAATCTGATTTTCATTTCCAAACAAAAAGCAAAATGACGTCCCCACGATGTTGGGGTACAACTGACATCATAATGACATCCTGTGCCTGCTGGGGAGTTGGGTAAGTTATTCTACTAATTTGGCAACAAATAAATGTCACGTAGGAAACTGTTTGAGTTTTCGTTTAGTAAAAATACATCAGTGAGCCATTTGAGATGACAATAAACCTTATACTACACAGTGCATAAGTGTATAGCGTGTCATTAGAGATGCAACTATTGTCCATTATATGACACTGGTTCACAATCTCTCCTGGGCAGTTAGCAGATCTTTTATTTAAAACTGATTAGTTTCAACAGCCTGTGGGACATGCAGCATTTTCACAAAAGCCATGAACAAAGTGACAGAAGACATGAGAAATATGGAGCACAAATCCAGTCAAAATCAGAGAGCTGTTTATCACCTGAAAGCTGAATGAATAAATAAGATTTCCACTGATGTATGGTTAGTTAAGATAGCACAATAATTGTTCGAGAAACTTTATTTGAAAACCTGTAATCTGAGGGTGAAAAAAATCTAAATTCTGAAAAAATCACATTTAAAGTTGTTCAAATTTTTGATAAATATATACAGTAGGAAGTTTACTAAATAACTTCATGAAAGATGATCTTTACTAAACATTCTAATGATTTGGGGATTAGCAAATATGATTGGTTACTCCTACAAACATAAGACTGGTTTTGTTGTCCTGGGTCAGAAATATAATATGACCCAGACTATATTAAACACACATTCACTTAAAAATAAACATGCTTTGTGAGTGTTGTCCATCTCCCCATTCAGTCTGTGTCAGGCTTGGACACTGAGGACATGACGTGCATACCTTGATGAGCTATTTTACAAAGAAAGAAGAGACAGAAATAATCTTCATTATACTTTCTGTTTTACAGTACAGCAAGGTAAAGCATTAAATGTTATACAGTGATTTCAGAGTTAAACACAGACACTTTAAGTGTCTTTCCTTCATAACACATTGGGCTTTGCTTTGACATGGCAGAGATAGACATTTCTACAACAATATCCCAAAAAATTGCATAGCATCTAGTAGGTATTAGATAAAGCTAAAAAAAAAAAAAAAATTAATAAAAGTAAAATATTCTCAAAACATATTTATTCACAGACTATTTTTTATAATTATTTTAAAAAATAAATTATAACAATAAAAAGAGCATTTTTGCGTTCTGGTTATTTATACTTGTTGTAAAAATATCTATGATATGATGACTACAGTATAATGTTATATAAATACATAAACCTCTTAGTCTTCGTAGATATTTTTATGACTTATTATCTTATTATCCAAGCTACAGTATATATATATATATATATATATATATATATATATATATATATATATATATATATATAGTCACATAATTGCAGTATAAAACTGAGCAAGTTTATACAAAATGTGTATTTTAATTAAAAACTTTTGAATGTATATTTATGTTGTTTTTCTTTTTTTTTTTTTACTTTGTAGAAATGATTATTTTGAGCCAAATCCTGAGTTAAATTAACCAATCCATTCAATCCACTGGTTGTACATAGATTTTACAGTACACGGGTTTTAAATGGATTATTAGGGTTTTAGGAACTAGTCTGAAATAGTCTTCATCAGCTAGTCTTCATTCTTGAATTCAAATTAGACTAATCTGCCTTTATATAACATCTTGTAATTATTATGAACAATCAAAACCCAAATTAAAGTGCCTAACTTGTAAGACTAGTCTAAGGAGTTTATCGAAACTCACAACACAACAACAACAATAACAGCAGCTGTTACAGTGAACCTACAGTCAGTGACCTGCGATAAACAGGGTCATAACACAACAAATAATAAGATTTATTTGTTCATCTAAATAATATAAGCAACAATTTGTGTTATGAAATCGTTCAACAAAAAGAGTGACTTTTAAAACATAACAGACTAATGTAATAAAACACAATAACCTTATATGATGTATGTATTATTACGTCTATTAGGTTAAAAACGCTCTTTTTGTTTTATATATATATATATATATATATATATATATATATATATATATATATATATATATATATATATATATATATATATATATATATATATATATATATACACTCATTTAATTTGCATACACATTGGCACCTCATCGTTATGCTTTGAGTTGCTCCAAACTGTGTCTAAAGCCACAATAAGACTGTCTTTTCATATTTCTGCAACACTTGTAATATAACAGTGAATTAATATAAAGACTCACGCGAAGAAAGGGTCTTCCTCGAGCTGTCTGAAGTTGAACATGCTGACGGACTCAGGATCTCGGCTCTTCTGGAAGGACGCACTCGGTTACTATAGTCAGCAGCGGAGGATGGGCACGTGACTGGCGTTATGCGCGCTGATTGGCTGAACACTGACGCACTGGTATCTCTGTTTTGTGTCCGTGTGGTCATGACAACACTTTTAATTTTCTAGAAAACTCGACTAATTCTGGCACTTTCTGTCCACATCAGCGCAGGTTTGTTGTAAGATTATAGTGTTTATATGGCTATACAGGAATACTCTAATTTCTGAATTGTATTATGAACACAAACAACATGTGTTTATAGACAAGACGTTTCATTTTGAAATAATTTGATCATGCTTCCAGTAAGGTTATCTTTGCTGCTTTCTGTGTTTTTATTTTTTATTTTTATAATTTTTGTTGTGCCTCCCCTTTCTCTTTGTTCTCTTTTCTTATTTCTTACTTGTCCTTATCACTTTTTAATTGTATGTACTTGTATTTCAGTCTCTCTCAAATTACTTCCTGATTTATATTTTGCATTTCTTCTTTTCTAAATAGAATATAATTTGAATATTTAGAATTTTTTTGAATAATTTGACGACATATTTTTTATTATATCATATTATATTTGTATTACTTCCCACATAGCAAAATATCTCTGGCCCACCTCTGGCCCACACAGTCAGCTTTAGCTTGGTCCACATGCCGCAGTGAATTACGGTACATGACTGGACCAAGTCTGACTTTCAGACAAGGGCCAAATATGGACCATATCTTAGTCAAGTCTTAGCCAAGCTAATTACTCATAAGTAAACCTGAACTGGACCGGATATTGTATGTTGGTGTGTCACAACTGCAATGAAACTCATAAACCCATATATCACTGCTCTTTAGGCGTGCTATTGGTGTGCTTTTTCTCGAAGCGACCTGATTGGTAGATTTTTATTTTCTTTATTTGAAAATAATAAAAAAGTATTTTAAAGGCCAAACTTACATGGCCCACATATCAATAAATAACATCTGGGCCAAATACTACATTTTACATCTGGCCCAAGTATTGTGTGCCTCTGCCAAACCAGGGCCATGTTTGGCCCGCATGCTGTATGCCAGTGCCCGATAAATGCCTGCTGTGCCAGATTTATGCCAAATCTGGGCCAGAATTCTTTGCTACCTGGGTTATATAATATTTTAATGTTATCAGTTAAGTATATGTTACATAAGACAAATTGGGCTCAATGTAGACCAAACTTTTCACATTTCATAAGTGATTTCAATATATATTTGGAACTATTTAAAAACATTTTTTTGTTTATTCATTTTCTTTTCGGCTTAGTTCCTTTACTAATCTGGGGTCGCCACAGCGGAATGAACCGCCAACTTATCCAGCGTATGTTTTACGCAGCGGATGCCCTTGCAGCTGCAACCCATCACTTGGAAAATTTAAAAACATAGGATATGCAGATGTGTCTGCGTTAATATTTTAACCTCCTAGGGCTTAGTGTCCACATATGTGGACATCACATTTTAGCTCTTAAGTGTCTATTTAAAATACTTTGAATGTTTTATATTTTGTTACAGACATACAGTGTCATCCTGCAGCTATTTTGCAGCATATGAAATGTCCCAAACACTAATTTTAACTGTCCAAAATTGGGGGGAAAAATGTTGTTTTTACACTCTGATAGTCAAAATTTAAAAAAAAAAAAGTATGTTAAATATGCATTAAAAAACAGTCAGGAAAAAGTGTTTTATGTAAATTCGGACCACGAGTCCACATATATGGACATCCTTTTTTTCTAAAAGTTCATCATATCAAAAGATGATACTTAGGTTTTTATTCTAATTAGGTTTTAATAAGCCCAAATAGCAAAGAGAAATAAAAAATGCAAATATGAAAACACCTTAGGCCCTAAGAGGTTAAACATTTGTTTCCTTGGACAACAAAACCATGTATGGATAATTTTGTCAATAGGAAAGTTATTGATTTTTACAAATTTCCTGCTGTAAATACACAAATACACATTTGGATAGCAACTTAATTCGGGCAAATTTAATGATCTAAATCTTATTTATTCTAAATTTAATTAATTTTTTTTATATTATTTAAAATAATAATTATTAAAATTAATAATAAGATGATTTATTCAGCTTTTACATGATGTATAAATTAAAAAAAAAAACGTCATTTATGACTGGTTTTGTGGTCAAGGGTGACATGTAAAAATATATGTATGAAATGAATAAAACTATATAAGAATTAAATCACATGTGTGTTGTTTTGATGTTTAAAACCCCCTTTACAACCCTAATATTGCACGTCAATAAATACTGTAAACTAAAACAACCGTACAGAAAGCTGTCAGGAAAATGAGTTTAGCTGTAACTTTATGTCATGATATATTTTCAGAAAGAGTGTAAGAGCTGTAAGTGGAGGATCCAGCACATAGAAGCAGCATCTGTGTGTGTGTGTGTGTGTGTGTGTGTGTGTGTGTGTGTAAGAACATCCCACCAGCCACAGAGAGACCTGATACACTGCATCTGTCAGCCTGATGTCAGACAGACGTTTACTGAAGAGCTCATCATTCCCTCAGAGCACACACACACACACTTTCAGCCGACATCTACTCTTATGTACACACGCAGCATCTACAGTATGTGTCTTTGTGTGTGTGTGTGTGTGTGTGTGTGTGTTCTTTTAAAAGTGATAGTTAATGAACTCACTATTTACTCGCCCTTGACTTGTTCCAAACACGTTTGAACACAAAAGAAGATATTTTGAAGAATGCTGAAAACATACAACCGTTGACTTCAGTAGTAGGACATTCAAATATGATGGATGTCACTGGTTACACATTTTCAGCATTCTTCAAAATATCTTCTTTTGTGTTCAAACAGGAGAAGGAAACTTACGTCAAAAGAAAAAAACAAGATTATTTTGCTTACCCCATTGGCAGATTATTTAGCTTGTTTTAAGGAAAAACTCACTTAATATTGGAATATTATTTCTTAAAACAAGACAATATGATTTGCCTGTCTAGAAAATGCTTCTTGATATAAGAAAATTTAGATATTTAGACTAGAAACAAGACAAAAAAATCTAAGCAAGAAAAGCATTTCTGCAGTGTAGTCACTTTAATTGACGTTGTAAAGGCCGAATGTACCCACAAGTAGAATAATACCAGTGATTATTTTGGGGTTATGAAGAAAACAACTTATAAATACAAACCAAATGAAGTACTTCAAATGTAAAAATTCAGATTGTTTTCTGTGATGGTTGACGTGGTTGGGGGAAGAGGAAAGAATAATGCAGCATTCATCTGCACGCTATAAACATGGTCAAATCTGTGGAAAACCCCATAAAACAGGAAAACCCCATGTATGTGTTAACATTTTTAAGGTATCCTCATCATGTAATGCAGTCTGAGGGATTTACTGATGATTTTGTCCTGTGATCATGACTCAGTTGAACATCAGTGTGTTCGTGTTTGTTGTGTGCTGTAACTCTACACCAGTGCTGCGCGCCGCACCATCTTTCTATTTTAAGTCTGTTGATTAATAGTAGGATCTGTATATGTAATATTAATCTGCATGAACTTCATAGTGTGTGTTTGCTGTATTCAGGTGAACAGCGCCCTCTAGGGACTGACATTATAACAGTAAAATATAGACGAATTACTGGTTGACCAGATTCAACACTATGTAGAGCTAAAAACCAAGAATCTGCCTAGCCAAAGACAAGGAAAGAAAACGGAGCCGTACAAGGCCTGGGTGATCACCAACAAGCAGAACTACTGCATTCTGACAGCCAACTGCAGCTGTACGGCAGGGTATGTGAACACACATGTTTACATTTCATTCTGAGCATTCAGTGTTCGCAGTTTAATTCACAATGTTTAACTGTTTCTGCTGAAATCATTGCTGCAATCAAATATGAGTAATGTGTCTGATTCAGCATAACGTGAACTTACCTGCAGTGGCGCCCCCAGAAAATTTTCTTAGGGGTGGCCAGAAGCAGCCACACCAAATCTTGGGGTGGCACACACACACACACACACCCCCACACACACATACAAACACACACACACACACACATACACCCACACACACACACAAAAACATGAATTCAGTGTAATGTTATATTTTTGTTTATGGAAAATGAAATAATGTGGTTTTATTCCGTTTAATGAATTACTCTTAAAATTTTAGTTTATTCAAAAAAAATAATAAATTTAAATTGAATAAAAAAATCAATATTTAGTTTAAAAACACTTTTCATATATATAAATAACTTTTTTTTAGTTATTTTTCACATACTTTTATTGTATAGCATACGATATGTGCCAAGTCTAAAATTAATGATGAATTAATTAATAAAACAAAAAAAATGAACAAAATGCATTACTACACACACTATACAGGCTCTAATAATATCACTTATCCATATTTCTTTTTGAGCCACGATATTATTAATACAGCTTCTTCTATTAATGTACCTTAAGGTAATTATTAAATTGCCATTGCTGTCTATTGAAGGTGTGCGTGCGCTGTCAACGACGATTGGGGAGGGGCAGAGAATCATTTACGTCAGTGGCACCAGTCAATCAACAAAAAATTTAGTGGCTGCTATTTATTTATTTATTTATTAAAATATTGAGAATTTATGCAAGTACATTTAAATTAATTATATCAGTAGCAAAATCATATTGGGTAGCCACAGGGGTGGCCAGAGTTTACACAGGAGTGGCCCTTGGGGGCGAACCTGCTTACCTGATATAACATGAGAACTGCAGAGTTCAGCATTTCTAATTAGGTCGTCACTCCATTCAGCTCACTTTTAGCCAAAGACGTCTGCAGTTGGCATTAAAGCAGTGTGGTGTACGGTAAAAGTTTTTCTATTTTTGGACTTTGGCATCCTACCGCACAACACGACATGTTTGCTATTGAACCCGGTCTCTTTTTGCACCCGTGTGACGTAGGTTGGTAATTCCTCTATAGAAAGCGATAATGATAGAAAGTAAAGCACACCTGAAGAGGTGATGTTGACACAACCAGAAATTTTATTTTGCTTGTTTTAAGCAATAACTCACTTCATTGTGGTATATTATTTCTTGAAACAACACAGTATTTTTTGCTAGTCAAGAAAATGCTTCTTGATTTAGAAATCTTTACATGTTTGGACTAGAAACAACACACAAAAGCTTTTTTTGCAGTGTACATTAAATACTACAGTATGTTTCGCTGTAATTCATATAGCGCACCCGTACTATGTGCTTTTGACCATGTGCTTAGATAACTTAATTGTGCAATTTAGGACTTTGTTTAGACTTTAAACTTAAATTACAGAAAAACTAAAACACTAGCTTAGATAACCGACTGTAACATTACTGTCTTCATTGTCAAAACTTGAAATAACCTAATAAAAGGAATATAAAACATACTGATTTTTGTGATCAACATTTCCAAGGCAGGCTTATTAAACTGCACGCATTTTATTCATTATATTTCATTACAGTGCACAAAATAAAAGCTCTTTTCACAGAAGAGGAGACACAGAATGGCAAAGATTACACTGGAGGGGAAATAAACACTGCTGTTGTCTCTGATAGTGAGGCAGGAAGATGACCCTGACAGTGTTGGTCTATCAGTGATGTCTAGTACTCTGAAAAACAACTGCAGTATGAAAATAAGCTTAATGTGTGCAACAAATGAACAAACACAAACCATGTCAGATGTTCTAATGTCTCCACAACAAACACCTTTACAAACCATCAGCTGGTTAACATAAACTCATGAAAACTAGTAGCGAATGCTTTCCAGTAACAGTTGTTTTCCTGTGTTTGTGTGTGTGTGTGTGTGTGTGTGTGTGTGTGTGTTTTCCTGCTTGTAAACTGTTGTTAACTGTAGTTGGTAAAAATTTGTGTATTGAAATATTTTGCATACATTATAATGTAAAAATTAATTTGCGCTCATAATCTTTATTATAGATCACCATAATCTTCCCTCCCCCTCGAAAAGACTTCTTCACTTGTGGTCACATGGAACACCTTTAGGGTGGAGCTATCAGTAATTTAGGGCGGAGCTATCAGTCAATTCGGGTGGAGCTATCAGTAATTTTGGTCGGGTCTGTCAGTTGTTTAAGGCGGAGTTAGAATTATTTTAGGGCGGAGCTATCAGGAGGGCATTATTAGTCCAATAGGACATGTCTGTCAATAATTTAGGGCGGAGCTATCAGTCCTTTAAAGTAGAGCTATCAGTACTTTAGGGTGGACCAATCAGTCCTTTAGGGCGGGGCTATCAGTACTTTAGGGTGGGGCTATCAGACCATTAGGCCAGGGCTATCAGTTATTTGGGTTGAAGCTATCAGTAACTTAGGGCGGGTCTATCAGTTCAAAGCGGAGTTTTAAATACTAAGGGGAGAGTTATACATTTTTTAGGGCGGAGCTATCGCGGGGATTATTAGTCTATTAGGGCATATCTGTCAATAATTTAGGGGCGGAGCTATCAGTACTTTAGGGTGGACCTATCAGTCCTTTAGGGCGGGGCTATCAGACCATTAGGCCAGGGCTTTAGGGTAAGGCTGTCAGTAATTTAGGGAGGGTCTATCAGTCACTTGGGGCGGAGCTATCAGGGCAAGGTTATCAGTCTATTAAGGCAGGTCTATCAGTAATTTGGTTCGGAGTTATCAGTACTTTAGGTCAAAGCTATTAGTAATTTAGGGAGGGTCTTTCAGTCCTTTAGGGCGGAGCTATCAGGGCGGGATTATCAAACCATTAGGGCAGGGCTATCAGTAATTTGGGTCGGAGCTATCAGTACTTTAAGGCAAGGTTATCAGTAATTTATGGAGGGTCTATCAGTCTTTTAGGGTGGTGTTTTAAATACTTAAGGGCGGACCTATCAGGCCGGCATTATCTGACCATTAGGGCAGGGCTATCAGTAATTTAGAGCGAAGCTATCAGTCCTTTATGGTGGGCCTATAAGTCAGTTAGGGCGGGACTATCAGTTAGTTAGGGCGGGACTATCAGTCATTTAGGGTGGGGCTATTAGTACTTTAGGGTGGACCTATCCATTGTTTAGGGTGTGGCTATCAGTCCTCTAGGGCGGGGCTTTAAGTCATTTAGGGCAGAGCTATCAGTCCTTTAGGGTGGACTTTAAACATATTTACTTGACAAAAATAAAGACTTCATATTTCCACAAAGAACTGGTTCTCATAGTGAAGTGCAGAGGATTAAGTCCGGGCCTCCAGTAGGCAGATCAGGATGTCATGACCATGTAGATCTGCATCTGTGCTTCAGTGTCCTCTGTTTGGCATCTCTATTTTGGTGGAGGTCTCGGTCAGAGAGCCGTGAGGGAGCGGAGCGCGGCTCAGTGTGGCAGTCAGCTTCTTGCGGAAACCGCGACACAGGAAAACATAAATGAGCGGGTCCAGACACACATTAGAGGATGATATCCAGAGCGTGATCTCTTTGGCGAAATACAGCTGGTTTTGGGCCCAGCACTGGGCTGAAGTGCTCCGCGTCTGGCTGAGGGTGTACGGGACTCGGGCCAGGTGGAAGGGGGCGAAGCAAACAAAGAAAACCCCCACCACCACAAACACCTGAGGAGCAGAGGAGAGTTAGCATGCGTTAGCATCTCTTGCATGGTTGACATATTGGAAAGTTTATTTTACAGTGCTGCTTAGATACCTAACTAGTAATAACATATTGCTAACTATACAGAACTCTACACAACCCCTAGTAATTACTAGTGTGCTTATGAATGTGCTTGAATCAGTCTGGTAATTCTTCAGTTGATATGCTAACACAACTATCATAATATAAACAAATGACATAAAACTGTCGTCAGCTATAGGGTGCATTAAACTACAGTGCACCACAGTTTACTATAGGAAAAGTTAGAGTATGTGGTTGATACGACAGTGTTGCTTTTGTTAGGTATTAAAAATACTGTAATATATATGTATGATACACTGTACTACTGTATTGTTCAAAAATGATGTAGTATTTACTTCAAATGACTGTAGTATTCCCTCATTTGGGTGCAAGCACGCATGCTCCTTAAAAAACAGAACCAGATCTGATATGGTCCCTACTGAAAAAGCCAGCTTAAACCAGCCTAAGCTGGTCAGGCTGGTTTTAGCTGGTCACCCAAGCTGGTTTTAGCTGGTTTCCCAGGCTGATTTTAGAGGGGATTTGGCCCCTTCTTAGCTGGTCTTAGTTGGTCAGGCTGGTTTTAGAGGGTTTTGAACACTTTTTAGCTGGTCAGGTTGGTCTCAGCTGGTTTTAGCTGGTCTTAGCTGGTTTTAGCTGGTCAGGCTGGTTTTATAGGGGTTTTGGCCACTTTTTAGCTGGTCTTAGTTGGTCAGGATGGTCTTAGCTGGTTTTAGCTGGTCAGGCAGGTTTTAGAGGGATGTTGGCTACTTTTTAGCTGGTCTTAGTTGGTCAGATTGGTCTTAGCTGGTTTTAGCAGGTCAGGCTGGTTTTAGAGGGGTTTTGGCTACTTTTTTAGCTGGTCTTAGTTTGTCAGGTTTGCCTTAGCTGGTTTTAGTGGGGTTTTGGCCAATTTTTAGCTGGTCTTAGTTGGTCAGGTTGGTCTTAGCTGGTTTTAGAGGGTTTTTGACTACTTTTTAGCTGGTCTTAGTTGGTCAGGTTGGCCTTTGCTGGTTATAGCTGGTTGTAGAGGGGTTTTGGCCACTTTTTAGCTGGTCTTAGTTGGTCAGGTTTGTTTTAGCCTGTCAGGCTGGTCTTAACTGGTCAAGCTGGCTGGTCTTAATTGGTTTTAGCTGGTCAGGCTGGCTGATCTTAATTGGTTTTAGATGGTCTTAGCTGGTCAGGCTGGCTGTTCTTAACTGGTTTTAGCTGGTAAGGCTGGTTAGGCTGGCTGGTCTTAGCTGGTTTTGGGCCAGGATGGGAAACCAGCTAAAACCAGCCTGACTAGTCTGCCCAAGCTGGGAGACCAGCGAAAATCAGCTTGACCAAGCTGAGAGACCAGTTAAAACCAGCCTAGTCAGACTGAGAGACCAGCTTGACCAGCCTGGCCAGGGTGGGAGACCAGCTAAAACCAGCTACTTCCAGTTAAAACCAGCTAAGACCAGCCAACCAGCTTAGGCTGGTTTTAGCTGTTTTTTTTCAGCAGGGGTGATATTGTCTCTTCGTCTACCGCATGCACAAATCAGTGAGCAGAACTAAAGGCTCAATAATGTAAAAATAGCTGAGTTTTGAAACTACAGGATGCTTTTACAGTGCATTGACCTCTGTCAGAAATAAAGGGAAGTTTGAAGTCTCAGTTCATAGCTAGTTTAATTACTCCTGCACGTGCAAGAACAGGGACACAATAATTAGTTATTGTTAAAGTTATTGGAAATAATACGGATCACTAGAGACTGCATAAAATTGCATACTGTTTAGCAGGCACTTTGCTTTTTAACATAAAGTTTAAACAAGAGTGATATACAACAATTTCACGTTTCATTGCCATTGGAAAACAAGAATCGAGTTTAAGATCCATGGCCTAAGCCTTAAACAAGAAGTTTGATATATGTTGTTGTTGCATGCATTTATACTACCTAACTCTCCACCCCACCTCCCCCTCTAGTACGGCCCCCCATGGGTTTTCCTTTAGCTTAGTCCCTTTATTCATCAGCCACAGCGGAATGAACCGCCAAGCATATGTTTTACACAGCGGATGTCCTTCCAGCTGGGAAACATCCACACACACACACACACGCACACACACACACACACACACTACAGTCAATTTAGTTTATCAATTCCCCTATAGCGCATGTGTTTGGACTGTGGCAACTCCACACAGAAATGCCAACTGGCCCAACCGGGACTCGAACCAGCGACCCTCTTGCTGTGAAGCCACAGTGCTAACCACTGAGCCATCGTCCTGCAGAGTTCATCTCTTTATAGTTCTAATAGTGTCTAGTACTCTCAGTCTTATATACAGTATGTAATTTCAGGGTTTGCACAACATTTATCAATAAAGCACTGGCATGTACTAGGAATAAGGTTGCAGATCCCTAGTGTGAATGTTTGCAATCTCAGAGACCATAAATGTGGATTAAGAAAGTGCACTTTACCTTAGATGTGGTCTGTTTGCTGGTTACGTCACTGCTGCTTTGTGATGCACGGTACGACTCGAACACCTTCCTGCTGATGAAGGTGTAGCAAACAACCATGAGCGCCAAAGTTCCCCAAAAAACAACCTGGCAGAAGTAGTTGAAGCCTTCGTGCCACAGCAGACCCATCTTCCCCTTCATCCTGGTGCAGCGTAGCCTCCCGCCGGGGGAGATCTGTGGCATGCGGTTACTCAGGATAACATTGGGCAGCGCTAAAGACAGCATGACCGCCCAGGTCACTGCACACAGAACCCGACCCACCCTGACCCTCTGGAGGACGCATTTCCCGAACGGATGCACGATCTTCAGGTAGCGGTCCAAGCTGATGAACCCGAGCAGGAGGATGCTGATGTACATGGTGGTGTAGAAGAGCACGGCGGAGTAGCGGCAGTGGAAGGCCCGGAGGTGCCAGGAGCCTAAACCGGCGTCTGTCAGAGCTTTCACAGGCACGGTGAGAGTCATCAGCAGATCTGCCACCACCACATTCTTCAGGTACACGATGAAGGTTGAGCTGCTGCGGATTTGGAAGAAGATCCAGGCGGCCAGACTGTTCAACACCAACGCCAGCAGGAAGAGAGCCGCGTACAGGCAGGGGAACAGTATGGATGTAACCCGAGTGTCCCGCTCACACTTCAGAGAAGCGTTCACCTGACTCAGGTTCATTTTGCTGCCTGGAAGAAGAACATCAGTGGAGGTGAAGGTGATATTAGACTAACATTTTCACTTACAACAAGCAAGCTGCATGGTTATTCATCACTTGCGACCCTTTTACATTTGTAGAAGTTTTTTAATTATGAAAATTATAGTCTTACATCACTTTTCTACATTGATGGATCAGTGATCGCACGTGCATTCCTGACAAAAAGCTTGTGTTTGTGTGTACAGAAATGTACTATCCACCCTCCCTGTTAAACTTGATCTAATCATGTGCTGAAACACAGCTCCTCTCCTGCTTTCACTTCTCATACTGACGGAGGGAGCGATTCGTTTGTGAATGAATCTCCGTTATGAACGACTCGTTCACTAGCTGACAATAATACAAGTTTCTGGCAGCGCAGCATCTCGTTGTCATATTTCTTTTGCACTGTTTGCTGATTTTATTCAACAAAACTAGCATAAGCCGAGTGTTTAGTGCGAGTTGGAGCTGCTTTGCCGTATGGTGAATGCAGTAAGTGACTGTTATCATCAATAACGTTACCTGATTAGCACAAAAGTTCAGAACATACAAAAACGTAAAAAACGTCGTTATGATTATTACTGAACCGATACCGAATTGTTCGTGTTTGCATCGCGGTGCACCGAAGAAACGATTAATTTTGACACCCCTATCCAAAGAGTTTGATGGCTGCGGTTGTCGGATTTTCCAATTATTTACAATGTTTTCTTAATCAATCAATCAACTTTTATTTATATAGCACTTTACAACAACCACGGTTGACCAAAGTGCTTTACAAAGGTGAAAGCAAACAACCCAACAGACAAGGAGATGCTGCAAAACAATACAAAAAATATCAATAAAATCCAACAAACATTAAAACATGTAGGGCTCTATTTTGACGATCCATGCGCAAAGTGCAAAGTGCAGGGCGCAAAAGCATTAAGGGCATGTCCTAATCCACATTTGCTATTTTAAGGACGGAAAAATCTGCATTGCGCCGCGGCGCAAGGTCTAACAGGGTTGAGCTTATTCCCTTAATGAGTTAAAGTTGTGTTTTGAGAATAAACCAATCAGAGTCTCGTTCACTTTAAAAGTCAGTTGCGTCGCTCCATGGTACATTTGCTATTTACATGGCGACTTTGTAAGTGTAAAAACTGAACGTTACACTAGCGTTAAAACAGGTAAACAGAGCATCTGCAGCACGAGGATAAAGAACGAGCCTCCTCATTCTTTACTTTCACTTTCACTCTCGTGGATAGGGAAACCTTGTATGCACAGACATCCATTAGCCTATACATTAATTAATTTTGTTTGTTAATATACAAATATTCGTTTCAAGACTATTTCTAAATTCAGTTCTAATTTCCAGCAAACGAATAAATGAACAATAATAACGAAGTGTGCTCAAACAACTGAGTTACATCCAAACACACATGCTATGCCCCATATGTTCTAAAACCTGACAGGTGGGCAAATCTAACTTATTTTCAATAAAACAAATATAAATATGGATATAATAAATAATACTGCTAATAATAATAACTTTATACAAAAGCAAATTGTCAAAAAAAAGCCCCTCGAGATGAAGAAGACATGGAGGCGGTGGTGTTTATATTGATGTAGGCTAGAAAATAATAATTTTTGTAATATTTTAATCCTTTGATTATTTTTCATTTTGCTTGTTTGTGAAGTATTGTATTAATCACCACATTAGTTTAAGCTTAATTTAACCATCATGAACTCACTTGGAGGGGCACATCCTCATTAACCCATACTTAACTACTCATCAACCCCTCATGCACGTCCATCTAGTGTGTTTAATGAGAGTAGAAAAGTGTTCAGTCAAAATCAACATGAACAGTTTAATTACAGGGGTTAATGAGTAGGTAAGGATGAGTTAATGGTGTTGTAAAGTCATGACATAATTATGCATTAACAGCTCATGAGCTCACGTTGGTTACATTTAGCTTAAACTTAAATGTTAATTAATACATTTATTAAAACATGTACTCACAAGTTATTAAGGCAGCCGTTGTTCACACATGAACTCTTGTGACTCATGTTGTGGTTAAAGTTAATGATTAGCGCATGCATTGACTCATCATTAGTTCAGGGATGTTTACTTTGCATATTAATACATCATTATTCATGTACTGTTACTGAAGTGATACCGAATCTCCTGCTCTGATCAATTCTACAGACAAAAAGAAAGTATGAACACGACTAAGACTTAGATGCATCCAAAGATATGTAGAAATATCATGAAAAAAACAAACCAAGAAAAGCTTAAAGTGAGAACCACCCTGATGTCGCCATTCATCAGAAGAAAAAAAAAAAAACTGAAAGCAAACACATGCATGAGCATATAAAAAATTTATTAAATAATTAAATATGCATAAGCAAACACTTACCAGGAGACAAGCGAGCGCCCTTAAAGAGGAATTAATAATGTCTTAATGCCTTCCGGCAGCTATATCCACACTGTTCTTGTGTAACCACACACACACTCATAAAGAGAGAGAGAGAGAGAGAGAGAAAGAGAGAGAGAGAGGGGGGGAAGAGAGAGAAAGAGACTTTTTTTTACTTTTCAAACACTTTTTAATCAAAAAATATAATTTAACAACTCATTGACATGCCACTTCATAGACATTACCACTTAAAATATAATTCCCCAAACTCTCTCGGCACAAGAGCATTTTTTATACACCACCTTAAATCAAAGAAAAACATATTGTTTGTTAATTTATAATATGCATATTCCACGCTAACCCTGTATTCTACTAAAGATTTAAACATTCCAAGTAAATCGTTGTTTTCTCCATCATTTTGACATTTCTGAGATTTTAAAATGGCCAATTTTGCTTGTCCTACCAGAAAATTGCAAAGTGTACATTGTGCTTTCCATTATTTCCAATGCTTTCCATTATTTTTTATACTTCACTCCCATAATAAACATGTTTTTGGTAAACATAAAACCTAATTTAGCAAAAAAAGTTGTTCTAATAACTCAAATAAAGGAGTTAAATGGAAACAATCATGAAAGAGATGAAAAACAGTATCAGACATATTACAAAATGGACACGTAGATGATACTATTTTATGGAATTTTGATACAAAACTATTTGTTGTCACAGCACAGTGGAGGATTCTCCATTGGAGAGAAAGAGAGAGAGAAAGAGAGAGAGAGTGAGGGCTTGTAAATAAGAGTGTACTTATGTACATAAGAAATAAGAGTTTGTAAATAAGAGTAAATAAGAGTGTACTTATGTACTTAGAAATAACTTATGTTATCTCTATATCAAGATAATTAACAATACTACACTTTAAAACCCAATAACTCAAACCATTTGAGGAAACCGGTTGCAACAAACCATTTAAGCTCAAACACTAATCCTAATGAGTGCTGTGAACTTAATCTATTTGAGTAAAGAAGCAATTTGAGCACAGTAAAACCCCAAAAATGAAGAGAACTTAAACCAACTGAGTACTGTAAAATCTTAGTAAATAAGTTAAGGCAACTCAAACTGCTTGAGGAAACTGATTACAACAAACCATTTAAGTTAAAAAACTAATCCGAATGAGTGCTGTGAACTTACTCCATTTAAGTTAAAGTAATGAGGTATTTAATTAACTCTCAAAACTCTTTTTAAATGAGTAGAATTAGCTTTCAGTCAGTTTTTGAGTTATCTACACTAATTTCATTTGATAAAGTTGACTGTTGGGTTTTACAGTGTACAGATTTAATGTGCCAAAGCTCTCCACCATGATTATTCCCATCAACAAACTCCGCTTTTTCAGATTCGTCAGTAAATGCATTGGCTCTTCAGCAACACTGCTTGTCGTATTTGTTTTTCCAGTCGAGGAGATCCCTTAATTTTCCCCCAGAGGAGGTTGTAGTCAGATTTAGCTTACTGCTGGGGACGATTCTGTCCCTTAACGTTGGCTAAGTATGCAGACAAACACATATTGAGTTCTGCACACACTCAAACACACACGTTTACCACATCGTTGCTGCATAATGTACTTTTTCTAGTGAGAGGAAACAGGAAGCAACTGTCAGCGATACACAAGCACAAGATAATAGTGAATCTTCTTGCAAACCCAGACGTGCAATGGTGCAGAAACAGCATCAGGCTCATGGAGGAATCATAACTGAGAATTTTGCAGCACACGGTTAAAGAAAATCAGCAGTGGAAAACTGCTGATGTGTAATTCCACAGGTACACACAGAGGAGCATCGCAGGCTCATTCTGAAAACATAGTCCCGTGGACGTTTCTGCAGACTGCGAAATATGTCCCAGGAGGTACGTATTTTTGTAGTTTTTGTGTTCGCTGCACTTTTTCATGTCTCAAATTTCTCTCGCAGGTGCCGTTCACGCCCGCTGTTCTCACGTAAACCCACCAGAGGCCGCTGTCAACCAACTGTCTGTCTGACTGACTGGCTGGCCAACCAATCCAATCGACTGACCCACCCCTTTTCTTCCCTAAACCCAACCAGTTTTATCAATTGACCCGCCCACCTCGTCTGATTTTTACCACGTTTTCAGATTTTACCACATTCTCACCCTGTTATGAACTCGTTCACTTCATTTTTTGGATTCTGTTTATGTCTTACCTGATTTCTGGAACCGCTCTTCCCCGGACTCAAGCCTAGTCATCGTGGTCAGCTCCTCTCTGCATCTTAAGTCCACCAATGTACACGATGAGCTAATGTGACAATCTGGTTGCAGCGGGAAAGCCCTCCACATGGAGGTACGCGGTCAGCTGGTAAGCGCCAAAAGGAAAGGCGTCACACCGCCCCGTAGTGTTCGCTTAAAAAAAAATCCAATGAAATGCAGCCATACACACCTCCTGCTACATAATTCACGGCCATCAGAAACATCCACAGGACTACGTTTTCAGAATGAGCCTGGGTTGCAGAGGAGTCTAGTGTGGGAGTCTGAGGCGATGCATGTGTCCTTGATCAGCGTCGGCTGAATGTAAGGTATTGCAATTAGCTGTTGATGCGATGTTCACAGCACAACCACAACGATGACGATACAGAGGAATGATATTATTGACACATTCGTATTAAATGACAACTTATTTATATTATGGGGATGTTTTTTTATAAGTTGTTTACATTTTAAGATTTTTTATTTGAAAAAAAAACAAATGTTACACACACACTGTTTGCTATGGAATGCAAAAACTTTAAAGCTGAAAATCTCAAAATCATTCAGAGCACAGACAGAACCTTATAATTTGAAGTGCTCATTTGTTTATTGTAATTTGATGCAAAGGTAATATAAAACATACATAAACATATAAATATACATACTTAATAATCAGTTACCTCTTCCACTCTCTCAGAAATAAAGGTACATGAGCTGTCACTGCGGTGGCACCTTTTCAAAAGGTACAAATTTGTACCTAAACTGTCCATAACAATACCTCAAGGTCACATATTAGTACCCAAAAAGTACAAAAGTGTAAGTATTTAAGGTACTAATACTTTTGAGGTACCAATAATGGACTTTTAAGTACAAATGTGTACCTTTTGAAAAGGCACCACCCCAGTGTCAGTTCGTGCACCTTTGTGTCTGCGAGTGCACTCTTAATATCATGACTGTGGTAAGACCCTTGAATAACTGCTGATCCATTTCTGTGGGTTTGTAGCTGTGTGCTCATTTCCCGTCTCATGATTAGTCAGTATAGTCTCACAGTTGTGCTGTTACGATGTCCACTTCCATTCCCTTTAGCAAATCTCAACTTGACAGCAGAGTAGTGTTGTCACGTTATTGAAATGTCAAACTTCGGTATGATACACTGAAAAACATTGATATTAGAACAAAATAACAACAACAACAACAACAACAACAAAAAGACTAAACCATATAAGCAGTCCTTAAGTCCAAAAGGCAATAAATTACAAAAAAAAAAACATTAGTATTCGTATTAGTAAACTATTAGAATTAGTATTTTCTGATCAAAACAAAAGTGTAAAAATCTTTAAAATAATTTTTTATTTATATTATTATTATTATCCCTACTGGTGAGGAAAAAAAAGTGCAAGAACATTTTTTTAATTAATCCCTTCAGACCTGAATTATAATCCAAGTTTAAGAGAAAGGCTTCCATCAACAAGACTGAATATAAATAATAAAAATGTCAACATTATTTAATTGTTTTTGTTTATTTCAATGAACATCAAGTCAAAACAGAACGTCACAAACATAAATAATATAACTTTTAATTTTTGAGGTTTTTGTTTTATAGCCTGCTTATTATTATATAATCGACAGAAATAATTTGTAAAAATCCTTATTTTATTTAAAGTTTGCCATTCTACAATGGATTTGTAACTTTAATTAGTAAAAGCTGTCGTTTTTTCTATGCAATCTATTAAATATTGTCAAATATATCAATAAATGTGAATAAAAGCATTAAAAATGTTGCTTACTTTAATATTTAGATCAAGTGCTGCCATGCTTGACTTTAGCTTTGAGAATATATATTTTTTTTCAGATTACAACAAACAGAGCCTTACTGCCATTTGATTGGCTGACAAACATCCAATACCACAGACAGCAGACTTAAAAGTAGATTAAATGCTCCAAAAAATGTGATCTCCGTTGTAATGGATGCAGGATCCAAAAGGGTTCAAACTCAAACTCAAATTGATCTCTAATTCTGGGCAGAGTTTGATTCTTACAAACCATTTTAAGGTCATTTACCACAACAAGCACATTAGTTCTTCCAAAATTACCACACTATAGCAGAAGGCTAATACCGAAATCTGACCCCGCTTCCTAAACAGTTTTCGTTTTTCTATTGTGAACAATTAAAGCTCATTGAAAGTTCCACTTCCTTTTTTGCTTTTGTCTTTTGCATGTTTATTTTCACCCATGTTTGAGTTTGCCGCCTCATTATTATTACCAGTGTGTCGTTTAGTTCCACTTTTATCTGTAAATTTAAAATCCTGTTTAGTTTGTTGCTACGTTCTTACATTAGCGCTTATTTATTGTGGACTTTATGAGGAATTGAGAAATGTTGAAGACGTATTTTTATATTACTGGGCCAACTGACAGTTTCATTCATTGCAACTTCCATTAACAGCTTTGGTTGCAATCAAAACAACTCAATATCCTCAACATGTGCAGATCACACATTTACATTGCACAATTCTTTAATTTCCCTTCAGCTTAGTCTCTATTTCAGAGGTCAACACAGTGGAACGAACCACTAGTTATTCCAGCATTTGTTTTATGCATCGGATGCCCTTCCAGTAGGAAACACCCATACACTACAGCCAATTTAGGTCATCGATTCATCTACAGCATGTGTTTGAAACCGGAGCACCCAGAGGAAACTCATGCCAATGTAACGGAGTCTTTAGCCTCCTTGTTAGAGCAACCGACTCCCATGCGGAAGGTCGCCGGTTCGATACCAGCTCGGAGCAAGTTGGGTGGCGTAGGACCGGCGGGGTTACATTGGTGCCGTGACCCGGATGGGAGTGAGGTTTAGGGGGGTGAGTG